TTGGCAACTGCAGCTCCATTGCATTCAGTCGTTCCTCAGCGACAGTTCCTCAGAAGGAAATTCCAGAAGTCTGACTCGCTGAGCCAAAGGCAAAGTGAAACGTAATTACAACAATGAAATACGAGTCACTTGACCTAGATTGCCACCCCAGGACCTCCTTCAACTCCTCCACCTTTGGGGTAAATGTGACTTCCGCACGTTTGGTTAGGGGAGAGGGTAAAAAAAGGTTTCCTCCAGCCCTTTTCGCCTTTGTCATATTCAACGTAATGAAATCCCGGCCAGACGGTATGTGCTCCTCATAAAGGGCAGGCAGCAGAATTATTGCATGGCTTGCAATATACTTGGCCGAGGTCAATGTGTTTTTTGTTTATACGCCATACCACGCCCCCCTTTCGGCCGTAAGTTGGCCGTAAAGTTGGCAAGAAAACGAGAACAAGACCATTTTACGTGCAATCTGCTAGGGTGCACCTGAAGAAAATGGCTGTACCTTAAAGCCAAAAGCAGATTTTGAAGTAGCCCTGAAGGTGTTAGTTTCTATACGAAATGTATTGTTATTTTTATATTATTTAAAGATAAAAGCTTCAACTTGACAAATATTTCTCCCCCTGTAAATGCCTGGCAAAGTATCAGGCTCCAAATGGAAAATTACGCACTTCAGGGAGGAAGAAACTAAGGATGCCTCCAGCCTCCGGCCATCATAACTTCTGCTCCCAGCCGGGCTAACTCCCATTTGGCTGTCGCCTGGAACTCGGCTCAGACATTCGCATTGTCCATAAATCAAATGTTGCTTTGATGTTTCTGCCTGTTTGCTCTGGCCCAGATAAATGAAACTATATATAGTCTATGGAATGGAGGAACTCGCATGCAATGGAGACTTCATGGAGAAAAGACTAGAGTGCTCTATAAAAAACATATATAATTTTAAATATTTTATACCTTAGAAACAACTATTAATCAGTTAGTAAATATAGCTACTTACCTATAACTATGAATCTTTTGAAAGTCTAATGCACCCCTTGTGATAACTTCTACAGGGTACATGCATAAAAAATGCCACTTTTTTCGGTGAGAAACAAATGGCAACTAAAAATTCATGAATACTCTATGAGGAAGGCTCCTTCCGAGTGGGGCGTTGAGCTCCGAACATTCTCGCCTCAGTGAATTGGCAAACTTTTTGGCGCCAATCCCCGTAAAGAAAATATGCAAAAGTTTTCCATCGCGTTATGTGGTAAATTGCATTTCCGAATCGTTGATTCGATCGAAGCAGGATATGAATTCATAATTTTATTTTAAAAAGTATAAATTTAAGAAGAGCACTCCATAAAGTGTTGCTTTATAAGGAGAATATGAGTCCCAGGACGATAATAAAAGCAGGAAATGTAAACACGTATACGACATGTGTGACGAGGCACAATTGACTCAAGTTGCTCAACAAAGGCCAGCTTTGTAGCTCAAGTTAATTGACTTGGCCCTTTTGGCTGCAAGGCTCCAGGATCCTGAGTCCTTGCTGAATGCATGGGGTTAATCGTCCGAATATGTGCAGGATGAGGTCGTTCCAGTTGTCAGTCGCCAGTCGGCAGATAAAGCACGAGACCGACTGTGTGACTGACATCTTAATTAAAATGACTCATACGCACCGTTGGCCCAACAGTGATACACGTATCCCGCAACACTTCGGTCCGCACACAACAAGTGTCTTGTTTCCAGCAGCAATGTTGCCAGCTTTTCGCCTCTCTTTGAATTCTGGCTGCCATCCAACCAAAAAAATAAACTCATTTTTCTTCTAAAAGTATTTGTTTTGGTTTTGTGGTGAATCAATGTTTGGCGCTGATTTCCGCTGCAGACTGCAATGACTATTCGTTAATTTTATAAATAATTAGCAGCAATTAACAATGATTTTGCTTTGCTCCTACTGCTCATGCCATTTATGAGGATCGCATTATTTCTTTTACGTTTGTTTTCGACCGACCGACCGAAGTCTACCGAAATGTCCTGCGGCAATATCAATTAACTTAAATGCTAAATACAGGCACGAGCTGCGTTAAATTGAGTTTCAAGTACTTTTTCAGCCACCTGTGCAGACATTTCCCATGAATTGCTCATAAATTTTATGTTAATTACCCGGGGACGAGGATTCGTTTCCAAAAAGGACACGTTTAAACACGTGGCTGTGCTTAAGCTGTCTCCTTGGGTAACTGACATCATGACACTTTTAAAGCGTTTAAGCCGACGACTTCTGCGGTGTTGGCCAGGTAATTCAATTTAAGAAAAAAACATGAGCTTATTTCGATTTAAATGGATTTAGAAGCCAACAAAAACGGATGGAAGAAAGTTGGAAAGATATTTAAATATAATGAAAATATAAATGAAAATTGCATGATAAAGGATTATTTCCTCATTTTTCCTCATTTAAAATATTGCATAAATACCGTTTTGAGATTTTTCGAATTTTTCCGAGGGGTACCCCCATAAAAATGTGGGTTTTCCTGATTTTCCCACTTTTGCTCCTTCCGATGGCCATATCTCTGCCAATTCTTATCCGATCAGAAAATAAAGTACCATTCAGTAATCAGTGAACCCAGAAGCTTCTTTTTGTATTTAAAATATTGCATAAATACCGTTTTGAAATTTTTCGAATTTTTTCCTAGGGGTACCCCCATAAAAATGTGGGTTTTCCTAATTTCTCCACTTTTGCTCCTTCGGATGGCCATATCTCTGCCAATTCGTATCCGATCAGAAAATAAAGTACCATTCAGTAATCAGTGAACCCAGAAGCTTCTTTTTGTATTTAAAATATTGCATAAATACCGTTTTGAAATTTTTCGAATTTTTTCCTAGGGGTACCCCCATTAATATGTGGGTTTTCCCAATTTTTCCATTTTTGCTCTACCGATGGCCATATCTCTGCCAAATCGTATCCGATTAGGAAATAAAGTACCATTCAGTAATCAGTGAACCCAGAAGTCCATTTTCTTATTCAAAATATTGCATATATACCGAATTTTTTCTTAGGGTTAACCTTAGGGTTCTTAGGGGTACCATTCAGTAATGAGCAAACCCAAAAGTTCTCCATCCAAAATATTGTTTAAAAATAGTTATTCAATTTTTCAAGGAATTTCGCGTTTTTTCCACCTTTGCACCTTGCGAGAGTGCTCCGCTCAAGAATTTGAGAATATTGGGAAAGATATAGCCTTTGGACTTTGCTTGGGGCCAAATAATCCTTATGGATTTTATAGAAGTTATATGTTATCAGAGTTGTGGCAGAGACATTGCCAATCGCAATTATAACCAGAAATAATACTAAAGAAGTCCGGAAGTCCGGCGCCTTCACTTCCTTTCAATTATAATTCAAATGCAGAACATGTGTGGTCGCATGTGCTGGCCATTAATTTGTCCAGTCATAATTGGGGTAGTCACCTTGTAATGGACAAAACTGATTTCCATATTAATTGCTCATTAGCACGAGTTGCGGAAGTGTGGCCCAAAGGCATCCCAAGTGCATTAACATGAGGCAATCGGTTGTGGGTCAAAGGGCACAACGGCGCCGACACATTTGTGGTTGTTCTGCCACTGAGGTTGGCCAATATTAATGCTGTCGGAAGAAGTGAAGACAGGGGCCAAAGGCCGGTCGAAAATTTGACCATAAATCAGTTTGCGGCAAAGGATACAACTGAAGGGAAAAGTTTTGGCTGCGGCAACAGATGCCTCGGATTTTAACGAGGCCTAATGGAAACCGCTGTCTAATGGCCCAATCAACCGAGGAGAGCAAAGGTGGCTCAAATTAAATATTAATATTCAATTAGAGGAATAATTATTGATTTCCCCAGGGCTGAGCTCAGCAAACAGAGCCCTGATTAGAGTTCAACCTTGAAAAGTGGAAAATTAAAGCTCATCTAAGGGCAGGTCACGATGTTAGTTTATTTTTCTTATTTATTTTTATTAGAGACACATGTCGCAGGCTCCGACAGGATGAGCTATCCGGTTTATGGCTCACAACTATGTAGCCAGCTGGACGGACGGACGGCAGCAGGGCTGACTCATTTTTGAATAATTTAATGAGCTGCTGCCACTCTGGCGTCGGTGGCGTATGCGCAATATTAAATCCTGGAGACCGCACATTTATCATGCACACTTCCTACCCACTCGCTTACCCACATTCCTCTGCCATGTCGCTTTAATATGTTTTTAATTGTCCTCTGGCAAGTGGCACTGGCAGTGGCAAGGAGAGTCTTCTTGGCTTTAATGACCTCTTCCTTAACCAGTTCGCTATCGGGACTGTTGTCTCCTGTTTAATTTTTTAATGTGGCCCATTAAGGCCGATGGTGGAATCTTTCGAGCAAGTTAATTAATTTTTACTGCACCAGCGAAGCCAGTTTCCTTTTTAGCCTTAACTCGCAGAGTACATGTTGTACATATATATTTTTATAAGCGCGCCAAATTTGACGATAAATCAACTGATAATGTCAGCACATTTAGCGACACGGTACGAGCCCAGTGTGATAAAGTTTTGGCTCTGTTTAGACGGAGTTGGCAAGTGACGGGAATGAAAAGCCAAATGTTGGGGGTTGGCAACATAAGTTGGCAAGCGGAGGAAGAGTTTTTGGGTCATCGTGCGGAAAACCTTTAATCAGCCACTGCTTAATGCGTGGGTTTTCCCATTTACCCGGGACAAGTGGCTTCCGTGCTTCTGGGCCCTCACATATTGTTCGAGTTAAGTGACAATGAAAGGTCAAAGTTTATATGCACAAACATCCATATAGATGGTTCGTTCCAATTTGGGTTTCCTTTGTTGATTGTTCCTTGAAAAAAACAAACATAAATAGAGTTTTCCACACTCCATTTTCTGCAGTTGAAGTTAGAAATTAAATTATCTGGCTTGTTCAATTCCGATTGTCATGCAAAATGCATTGCCCCAAGCTAGGCAAGATGTTGGCAAATTTATTATCCCATCAGCCACAAAGCCATTAAAGCTGTCGGGATAAAAAGAAGCAAGACACAGATGCTATAAATGGGGCAGAATGTTTTCAGTGTATAATATATAAATTGTAGAGCTCGGTAAAGATATTGCAATTCAGACACATGGGATACTACAAATTGTAAAAGCATCAAAATAAATCTCATTGTTTCGCTTGAAAATCCATGGGGGAAAGTCCTTTAGGGTAGCATAGTCTCCTACTGCTTGTTACTGCCACTCCTGCTTTGCTGGATTACAGAGTAGATTTTATCAAAGGCGGAACTCAGGCTGTCTATAAAAACTTTGCCATCGGCCTGGTTTTTGTATGTGGTGACTATGGCGCCAGCAAAATCGTTTTGAATGGAATAGCTGTTGGGAGTTAAGAAGTTATTAAGCAACTCTTCACAATATTCAACGATGGCTTACCCGATTCCAAATCCGTTCCTGACAACCGGACCAAAGGAGCCAGCGAGCAGGGCATCAGATCCCAGAGTGGAGGTGCTTATTATGTTGTTGTTGATGCGCCGATAGGCCTCAGTCTCATATATCTCCGGCACAGGTATGCCTTCTTTCTGAGCCGTGTGGCGAAGGGCGAACAAATGGCGATCAAAGCCCTGCCCCATGGCCGCCTCTTTCGTTAGCTGGCCGTGCACCTTGCTGCACTGGTCTATCATGGCGCGGAGCTCTCCGGCACTGGGCTTCTTCCCCTCCGGCTGAAGAACCGCCTCACAAAAGTCTTGCGTGGCTGTGGTGCAGGGGCGCATTGTTTCCGTTCGGCCATGTCGGAAGGCGGAGGTGCTGCACGACTCGTAAGTGCCCACATAGCCGTTGAAGGCTTGGCGGTAGGCCAACTGGAAGGCCAGCTGGATGATGGAGTCGGGACTGAGGCCGAACTGTTTACAGGTCGGCTTGTTGATGTGCGGATACTTTAGCACATTCATGTCCAAGCTGTCCACAATGCTCGCGTTTTTCTCATAGGCCTCTTGAACCGCCGACCGGGTGGCGTCATCGATCTCGAAGTTGATGGGCCGCACATTTGTGAAGTCACCTTCGGCGGGTGTGTGGGGAGTCTCCGTGGATACGAACGGCTGCTTCAGAGTGTCCTTGTAGAGCTCGTTAAAGTATCGCAGCACAGCAACGCCATCGCCCCAAGAGTGCTCGAAGTTGATGGCCGTGGTGCCATCGGCGCTGATCAGCAGGGAAATAGATTTGTCAAACCACCTGAAACAAAACACAATCATTTGGGGATCAAAGTAAAAACATCTATGAACCTACCTATTCGTTGCTTTACCGGCCAACAGATGCTTCAACAGAGGCTCTTGGCTATTTTCATCGAAGACACCATCTTCTTCCCCATCTAGACACACGCAAAACAACGCTGCATCCACCTCGCTTTGGAGCAGATCTGCGTTCTTGGGATTGCTCACAAACTGCTCCCGGGTGCGGGCCCATTGATCCCGCTGGCCAGAGGTTAGGACGCCCAATGGAACAGTCGCGGCCTCTCGATCAGCGTCCAACTTGATCACTGCCCTCAATCGACCCAGAATCACGCTGGGACTTTCAATAAAGCCACTAGAATCGAGGACATTTACGGCGTACATGTGGCCGCGACGCAGTACTAAGATGTGCTTGGAGTTGGGGGACTGCACCAGTTCATCCTTGCCCAACCGCGGAATCCTTGCGGTGCCAAAAAGTCGGTTGTACTGGCTCATGTCCAGCGGGAAAGCCTTGAATGCGTACGAGGCGTAGGTGGCAAAGGCCGTCGGCGCCACTTTCATCCATCGCCGGTAGCTGTCGTTGTCGCTCTTTTTAGCGTTCATGTGATAGACCTCCGGCTCGAGCAGGTCCGCCTGCAGAGATCGCCAGAAGCGCAGTGAGCTAATCACAAGGTTGGTGGCCCTCACCACCTGATCCTGGTACTCCTTTCGGGTGTCGCTCTTCATCACCAGGAGAGGGTTGTAGTTCAGCGGCAAGGGAGCTCGATCGGCAAGGTACATGTCGAACCAAGGCTGCGATATATAGCTGGTGTGCTTGTGGTCAACATCATGCTGCTTTAGCTTTGCATGCAGCTCCATTCCGATTCCCTGTCGAAAGTTTTCGACAGTGCTCTGGGTGTCTGCCTGCTCGGTGGCAGAGAGCAGCGGTTTGGTGGCTGCCAAGAACCTCTGGCAGGTGTTCTCCAGCAAGGGAATGGGCAGCCGGGGCAGGGAACGTTGAAAGTAGAGCGTAGGAAGCTTGGAGCACTGTAGGTACTGGTAGTGCTGGCCATGGGTCGTCGTCGTCCGCGTTCTCAAGGAGTTCCTCGTAACGCACGACAGCTTTGGGTTCACTCGAGTGCGGAACATCGCGGGCGGCTTATTGTTTGCAGAAGTAGAATAACAATAAATTCCGAGTGGCGGTTTCAAAGTCCAGCGCAAAATCAACAACAAAAAATTCGCTAGCCACATCAGCTGCTGGCACCGCAGCTGATCCCAGCTGATCGTCGGTATCGATATATCGATAACAGGCAATAGTTGGCGCGCAACTGAAATCGGAATTTAAACGTGCCTGAAGTCTGATAATAGTTTTTCGTAATGAATCTAACAACTTTAATTTATTTAAAAAAAAAATTTTGGGAAATATTATTTAAAATTTATTTGAATGCCTATTGAAGGTATTAAATTTATTTAAAGCTTGTAAGGCAATACCAATTACTTTCCAATCGATTTGTACGAATTGAGGCGCTCAAGTGCTTAAGAGTCCTTTCACCTTTTGCGAGGGCACCCTGGCGACTTTGGTCCGTGGATAAACATCGTTTTTGTTTGCATTTGGTATGGAGTGGCGTTTATTTGTTTGTTTGCTGTTGATGTCTGCCGGCTCCATGGGATTCAGGGGCTGTCCAAAGGGGATTTTTGGTGCCCTGAAGGCGGTGCCGTGGGTCAAAAGCTCCCGCTGGTTATTCCACCGACTTGGCAGGTCACTGTTCCCAGGTGCGCCAAATAAATAAACGGCTTACAGAAATTAGAGGCTAAGAAAGAAATGAAAATTCGCATAAAATTTTTATGCTTTGTCGAATTTAACGAGCTGCGCGTTGCTCCCTTCAAGTCCCTGCCCTAGTCGCCCTTGCAATTTGCACTCGGAGTCTGCGAAATAAAATTCGCAACCCCACAATCCTTCAAATTAAGTAAAGTGTAAAGTGGGAGGTGCGGTGGTGGAGGGCGGTAGCTCACTCTTCGTTTAAATTTGCATAAGAGGCATCGACGGATGCCAATGCGGATACGGGATGCGGATGCGGATCCGAATACGGATGGGTTGCAGGGTAATTGGGCAAAGTGGAATTGCGTTAATATTTAACCAGCCAGCGCGAAAGTGCAAAAGCGAGGCGCATTAAAACGGGAGAACGGATACGGATATGAACACAGAATCCTTGGGGGCCAAGTGCAAAATTATGCCAAAAGGGTTTCTCACAAAAACCCCATCCTTGAAGTACGTGGGCTTGAATGTTAAATGTAAGCCCTAAGGTCAGTTCATTTGACCCCGAACTGTCCGGCCACTGATTTCTGTGGAAATTCAATCTCCCATTAATGTCAAAAGCCATGTTGAATTGATTATATTATTGCCATAAAATATTGTTAATTCCAATGAAAAACAGTCATTTCCGATATATGATTACACAAATTAATATTGAAATGTTCATTTAACTTAAGTAATTGGAAAATGCGATGACGTAAAAATTTCATTTGGCTTAACAATATTTTCTCCTCTTATAATTGGGTTTGTGCTTAAATTATGAATTTTAATGATGAGAAATTCCACTCTTTCGCTAATATTATTTTTTGCGTTTTTTACTCTCCTGAACAGACATTTTTTGTTTGGAAAATTCATGGTACTTCTTTGTTATTAATAAAATCTTTTCAAGGGCCATCAAAACAGAATGAGGGCCAAAAAAAATGATTTAAAAAAGTTTCGCACTCATTAACAACCAACACAGTTTCAAATGTCGCTTCCAGGTGTTCAGGAAATTCTAAAAAAAAAACACTAAAACCCTTTTTTTATTCAAAAATCAACAATTGTTTCAAGAGACCATTGCCGGACAATAAAAATCCTTACCATTCCGACACGCACAGTGTGAATGAAATCCCTTTAAAAGGATTTTTTCCATTTTTTCTGTTCAACCTGGAAATTGGCCGGAAAGGTGAGGCAAGTAAGTCGCTGACTTTCGACGACTGCGACAACAAAAGGTGACCAGATGGAAGAGTTAACAGGAAAATTCCATTTGCGAATAGCAGAAGGGCAATGATGACCTTCGACCTGCGGCAGCCGACACAGATTTGCGTAGATGGCTCAGCATAAATGTCGGATTCCAGTCAAGCAAATCATTGACTTGTCCTGCAGGCAGGACCAAGGATGAAAGGTACTAAACTTCCATTGACTTTACCCAGAGACCTGGTGAAAATTCAAATTTAATTCCGCAACCTGGGCGTGCATGAAAAATAAAGCCAGCAGATTAATTCAAGCCGAAAAACCAAACATTAATACAAGACTTGGTGTTATGAATATGTAAAGCCGATTTTGGGCCCACGAATTGTGGCTCTTGTGTGTGCAATTATGCGAAAACATGTTCATTTTCATAATTGCTTGACAAAACTGAGACTCCTTTTGTTAAGCCAAAGTAAATAATGCAAATAATTGCAGCAAATTTTCGGGGACACTGAACCCACTCGTGCACACAATCTGTCATTAATTTATGGCCAGCCACGAGCGATGACCGGCAGCATAATTAATATGCCACAGGAACAGGCTTTGGGGTCGAAGCCAACAATGTCAGGGTTCAATGTCATCCTGCAATCAATAGCTGCAGGCTCGAGAGTTTATTGATGTCGTGTGGCAGTAACAGGGGACATGATTTCTTTAAAAAATGAAAATAGACAAAGTTCAAGCTTTATATCTTCCTCATTACAAACTATTTTAAGGCAGGAATTGAATAAAATAACGATTACACAAATGTAGCATCATTTCCCGCCCTATAGATAAAAAAAACGAGTAAAACTAATGGTTCTCCAATTACTGGATATATCTACATACACACATATAATCACAATCATATATGAATGTAAATTCGTGTAGCCTTTGGAGAAGGCAAATCAGGAATTCCGCCTACTAACCGCCATTGTGATGATTTTTCTAGAAAGCCAGACAAATTGCTCGTTTCGGTTTTTTTCATCGTTTTTATTTTTTTCCTTCGGCTACGGCTGAGTGCAAAGCAAAATCATTTTTCACAAGAGTGAAGAAGGTTTGGTAGAACAGGGCCAGGAACACGAACACATTAAATTGCTATAAAGCCATTTGCCAGGTCCCAGGATACACCCTCCATGAAAGCGGCGCCGACATGTGAACTCGAGCCTACAGTTTTTTTTTGCTTTGCTTTACAGTAAGCGAATATTTTGAATGATATTATTACTATTATAGTAATATTTGGAATTATATTATTCAGGATAAATAAAAAGTACTCAAAATATGTATATGTGTTAAAATATTCTTTAAAAAAACGGGTCCTGCTGAAACAGCTTCAAATAAATGTTCATTATTAATTATCCTGAATTGTTTGTGTATTCCCTGGCATCCCAATCACCAGTCTAGTCCCTTAGTCCAAAAACTCGCTTCGAGTTCCACACCCCTTGGGGACCGACATGTTATGTACGTTTTTTCTTGTAAATTTAATTTTTCCTGGCTGAGTGGGCCGACAACAGAGTGGAGGAAAAGGAGTCCTTTTGCGCTCGTTAGGCCGCGTCCAGTGTCCTGAGCTTTCATCTCGCTGCCAGAAATTACGAGCAGATTGAATTGTTTGATTACTTCGCCAAAGAACGGTGGCGGCTCGCGTGCCGGCGAGCGTTTTGGTCAAATTTTATGGTCGGCAATTAACAGGTCCACGCTGCCCTGGAAAGTAGGCAACACTTTTCACATGTCGTGCAGGCGGACATTAATCAGCGGCCAGAGTGCACGGCTGGAAAGCAGCAATCGTAATGGAATCGAAACGAGCGGAAATGCGGACAAATAAATCAAGTTCACATAAATTATGAAAAGGGCGCCCAGGCCGCCATGGCTAAAAATAACAAAATGGCCGACTATTTGCGTCACAACCTCATCCCCAAATTAAATTTATGACACTCGACCAAAATAATGATAATAATAATCAAATAAAAGAAGATACACATTACTAAAGAACAGATGTTAGGGAAAAGTTTACTTTCAAAGATTTGAATAAAAGAATTTCCTAAAAATAGAACTCCATAGCTCGAAGGATAAATATTTTTTTCCTCTGTTGCTGAAAAACCTCTCCTTCAGACCAACATCGGGTGGTTGTTATTTATTCGCGGGATTTCGTTGATCACTCAAAATATTTGGAAATATGTACATATTTTTGCGAAATTTATTATTTTTCGTTTAATTTCATGAAAATCCCTTGCAAACGTTGACATGACGTCAGAGCAGAGCTCCGGAGTGCGGAGCTTTAGGGATATCGATGTGATTTCAGTGAATCTGTTCGTAAATGAATTTCAATGGCCGCCATTGCAATTGCGAACATTTTCGAAACGATTTCCATTTGGTGGTCCAAACTTTGAAATGTTCAATTGAGTGGAAGACGAAAGGGGCAAAAGGGCAGGATTTACGCGATAGGATTTCAAACAGAGTTGGTTTCTTTTTTCAAGGCCATTTTCGGAACTGTTATTGCGGCTGGTTTTTGAATGGCTTGGCAATTTGTTTGAATGGTAGCTCTCTAATGGAATTTATACTGCTTCAAAAAAGACCAATTAGTGCTTTGGATGTACGGGAAAATCCAGCTTTCCCACTATAAAGAAAAATTCTGTTGAACTTTTTGAAGAATATATATTATTCGTTATTTGGTTCTGAATTCGATTGCAGCTTAATTTCCGCCTCGGTAGAAAAACGATGGGAAAAGCCTCAGCAAATTGAAATGCAATCAAACAAATAAGAGGACAGAACCATAGCAATGCCACTGAATTATGTATGCCAAGGATGGCAGGATGGCCCAGGACTCTGTCTCATTTTTTCTGTAGTATTGTGAGGGCACGTGATTGCACTGGCCCGGCTTCATGCATTTATTTGCATATTCACCGCATCGCAGACGCAGTGGCATTTACTGCATTTACTTGAATTTGCATTGCCTCCGAGATTGCAGGCCGGCAGCACACGTCAGGACGCCGGTAGAGAGGTTCTGGACCAGGATCGGAATGCAAATTGCTTCACCTTGCCAGTTGTCAACTCAGCTGGGTGTTCTGCTACATTTTGGGTGTTTAAACGGTAACAATGGTAATCAATCTTGTTAAAATAAGAGCTTTTCCAATAAATAACTTTCCATTTTCTGGGAAAAATTAAATTGAAGGAGTGATCAGTGCATCATTGTGTTGCACCAAGATGGTAAGGCACTTGCATTGGTCTAGTAGTTAGTAGTGTCCTATATGTACGCCACTATCCACAGCCAAACTAAACGTACCTAAAAGATTAATTTTCTGCTATAAAGGTAAAAACTCACACAACCACATAAATGCTTACTTTTCTAAGAAACTATCTTCCACATTTACGTTTATTTACCAAACAAAACTTGTAATAAACTAGCACGGGGGCGTGGCATATCACATAAAGTGCGAAAAGTTTCTGTGGAGCAAGTATTTGCATTACCTTCTTGTTGCCACTGTGTTTAAAATAACAATTGACTGCTCTAGCTGCGCCATGTCCTTGATGTCCTGGCTGAGTGTTTTTGTTGCTGCTAGTGTTCTTCATTTGCAGTGCAAATGTGCGTGGGAAACTGGGCGGAAAAAGGAGCTGCAAACGGAGATCCTTGTGGCGCTGCTAGGGAGGGACTTCTGCAGCTTAGCGTTAATTCCCAAGAAACTCAAACGGATGTGCTCGCACACATACACATTCAGAGATACTCATACACACAAACACACACGCATAACCAAGGAGCATCAAGTGCCATTTCGCATGACTAAGTTGAGCGAAATTAAAAAAGAAATTGCATGAAAACTCGCGCACCAGAAGCCGAGAACTGTATAAAATGAAATGCTTCCCGCGTAGGATCCAAAAACAAGGACTAAGAGGAAGCACTAAGGACGAGAATCCACAAAAGGAAAAAGGGAAACAGGCCCTGCAGCTTAAAGTGCAGAAAATTAAATTTTTCTTCCGGAAAAGTTCAAGCCACACTTTTCGACGGCTTTCTTACTTGGCCGCATTTTAAAGTGGCCACTTCTTCAAAGTTACACTTAAAAATAAGGAACTTTTGAACATTTTAACTTAAAAAATAAAATTTGAATAACCTCTAGAATAGATATACAATCAAGTTCAAGCTCCCTTAAGAATGAAAACTTTTTTCCAGTGTCTCCCAGGCCGGTGGCCGAAAGGATAACAAAGGCTTAGGGCAGGCACCTTGTTTCACAGCTCAGGGCCACTTCCGTTTTAGGCCTTATTGGGTAGTCTTTGGCCTCACACTTTCAGCCAACTCATCGTGAGGGTATCCTTGCAATTTGCATGGAAATGGAGAAACGTCCTGCATCGGTATTCGTTGCAGCTAACCTTTCAAGCCTTTTCTGTGAGTGCTCAGGACCTCAACGGTTTTGGCCTTTCTTTTGTCTTCGTTTCGACGTTTTCTCAATTCAATTTTGGCCAAATGGCCAAATTTTACCTTGCGCTTGGGGAAATTACAATATGCGGAATTTCTATTTTCATTTTTCTTGATTTGCAACTTTCCTAGAAAATTCTTTACGAATATTCAGCTGAACCCAATTGGTGATGATCTTTTAAGTTGCCTTTTGGAGATTCCTTGTTCTTTTTGCAAAAAAAAAAATAGGCAAACGGTCCGTTGAATTTTCTTAACGTTTACTGGGCCAGGACACAATTGACTAATATTCCTGCCAAACCCCAAATAAAGTCCTAAAGTCGACGAATTTTTCCCCAGCACGTGCACGCCCCCACATCCTTGGGCTGAGAGTCATTTTTTTTGTGTCTTCCTACTTGGATCAAAGACAGTTCCCGCATACATATACATACATACATATTAACTCCATTATGGCCAAGACAATCCAGCTAATAGAGCCGAAAACAGAGTCCGACCGGGTCCTTGGGCCGAATACGTTGTTTGGGGTTGAGGGAGTAGGTTTGTGGGGTTTCTGGGGTCCTTCCATTTCTAATGCGACACCCAATCGGATTTGTCAGCAATGGCCGGGCAGATGGTAGATGAATTTTGTTTGTCCCACTGATTATGCATCAAGTGCCATGGGGGAAAGGACACACAAAGCATAAGCAAATTGTGGACAAATGGCAGAAATGGAAAAAACAGGCCACTTTCAATTCCGGTGGGACAGATACTAGTGTGTGTCCAAGATACGTGGGCAAACACAAACAACGTCGAAGGATATCCATATGCAGCAACGGAAGTAAACAAAACTGATTCTTCCTTGAAATGTACTGTAAATAATCGTTCACATTTCGTTTATTTTTGCATTTCATTTACTTGGCTGATGAAAGCACCAAAGTGTTAATGAAAATATTTGGCATTCATTTAAGGACAATCTCGTTTGCCGCACTTCTCTGAAAAGTGCTTAATTTACGCTGCATTGCGCATACGCCCTGTGGTTTCGCACCAGAACTCTAGAGGGGGAAGCACTCTCAATTTGTGTGAGCTAGACAAACAAATGTACGCCATTCCAAAAGGCGTTGTTTCCTGCTCCTGGGAGTCCTGGCTTCCTTGCTGCCTGTCTCCCCCATGTGTGCATTAGGATGCAACTCATTTATCATGCCCAGCTTTTCACCCGCTGCCTTTTAGCGTTGAGTTGCATTGAAGTCCCAGAAAGAAGGCAAAGGATACAAAAGAAGGTCCTTAATGAGCAGTGACCAAGAAGTCAACAACATTTTTTTTTATTGTCCTTCTAATTGGACAATTGCCAGGGAAGTGAACAGCGTTGAAAAAAAAATATCAAGAAATGGAATTCTGTCAAGGTATTCCCAGGAAAGCATTCTTAGAATTTAATTAGAAAATGTATAAACATTATTTTTCTGAACACAACATGCCAATATTTCACTTTCCGGTAATGGCTTTAAGATGAAAAAAATGAGAAAACTGGATAAGAGCCATCACACAATGCATAAAGTATTGTTGTCCTTGGACAAATATAAAACATAATGCGAAAAATAAATGCCCAGAAATGTTCTCACCCGGCGAGCGGCTAAAGAATATTCATGTGCCTCAATAAACCGAAAAGAAAAGATGTCCTTTTAGCCGTTCCACAGAACCAGGCACTAAACTGAGCCAGCTAAGATAAAAGTGGCAACAAACACAAAAAAAAGAGCCAAGAAAAATAAAGTAAGGCAAACAAAGGAAGCGCAAACAGCAAACGTGCATTAAAAATATTGAGAGAGACTCCCTCGGCTCTGGTCTGGGGTCTTTTGGAGTCCCTGTTGGGGACGAAACTAACAATTAAAGAGTCTAAGAACGGCATTTAAAGGCAGAGTAGCAGAGCATACTGCCACAGATATAGCATAAAGACAATTGCCGAACTTGGAAGTTTGCGCTCCGTTGAATGTCCTGCCAAATAAATAAAATTGATTAGAAACGGCCGAATTGGCAGCTACATCGATGCGATGCTTCTTATCTGCCGGCATTTTCATTATTTTAATGCGCCGCACGACCATCAAAACTTATGGGCGGAGCAATCTGACTGACAGGACTCTGGGCCAGGACACTGGAGTATTGATTGACCGGACACCACATCCTGTCAACAGTTTCGAGAGGGAGATCAGAGAGTGCGGTATGGACAGCAGTACATCGGAAAAAAATCATTACATGCTTGGGTAATTTTTTTTTATTTATGATTATATTGTTGTTTCTTGAAAAATACTTCTCAAATTAAATATTGAGTCTTGCAAAGAGCATTTTGACACAGAAATGTGTTTATTATTTTTTTTTGTGCATAAAATTTCAGGTTTCATTCAGCTTTTAGCCCTATTTCTGGGTGACATTTTGGAGCAACAGGAAGTACTGTCCACTTGTCCGGACCATCTGCAAATCAATCAAGTGAAATAAAGGGAGTTGGGGGAATAGTCTCGTTTGGATATAGGACTCCACTCACCGACATCAGCGTGGGCAGGGACATTTGCATGAACCAGGACACGTCCAGCCTGAAGCCGCGGTTCGTGCGCATCAGCATCATCCGGATGAGCTGGCGGAACTCCCGTGACTCCGCCCACCACTCGCACTCATAGAAGGCCTGGCCAATCTGTTCGCTCTGGGGAAGGATTAGTCATGCAATTAGGACCTGGTACCAGCCAGCAGGATTCATTTATTTCTATGTCACCCACAGCGGAGGTAAATCGCTGGCCATTGTAGCAGTAGACAACTATTTGATATCCAGCCGCCACCAGGTACATGGTCATCCGGATCATGGTGATGCTGCTGTTGGTGCCCTGGGTTAAGGGGAAAGGGTAATGTTCTTAAAAATTTAAACTTTTATGAAGATAGAGTCTTACAAATCCAACACTCAATTGAAACAATGCCAGGCCCCAGCCGAAAAGACTAAGCATGAATTGCGAGAAGGTGATGTGTCGGAAACAGTCGTTGATTTCAGCGGCAAAGCTTGTAGGAAAAATAATTATTAAAAACTAGACTAAAATGCTATTAAAATACCTGGCCACTCTTTGGTACTGAAAGATACAGCAACGCAGGTATTCCAGCCTTCGTTCTGGAGGAACAAGCTCCGATGTGGAGTTCTGAACCATTTGGTTGAGGGACTCCATCAAACCCACGCTGTGTAGGCACAGGACTATAAAGACACCATCGAAGCTGACGGCACCTAAAGGTTGGCCAAGAAATAGGTGGTTCTATTAACTAAACCCTTCTAAGCTAAACTATTCTTACACATTCCACATATATACAAAGAACAGGATTCTAGGTAAAATTGTATGTGGTAATACGGAAAGGACAGGCCTTTTCTCTCCCAACCCGGATAGAGTGACGGTAGAGCTTAAAATTAATGACAGTTGAGAATTAAATTATCCAAATTCTTAAGGCTTAAACTCACGCAGCACAATGTCGTATGATCCCTGGGGAAGTGTAAAGTATTTATAGAGATTACTGACAAAGGAGCTAATAAAATAGTTCGATGAAAGGCAAATGCAACTATACAAATAAACCAATAGTTGCCGCCGGATACTGGCCCAATACCGATCCATAGTAGTCTCCACCTTTTGGCGTAGCACCTTAGCAATAGGAAGATCTAAAAACACAAAGCCTGGGCATTAAAGGTCGCAGTCTAGTCGAATCTCACCGGACATCCTTTCGAACAATTCGCATTTCTGGAGAATCTCATGAGTCCTCGCTCTTCTCAACAAATCGTACATTTGCTGATGAGCATAGAGGAAATACCACATTTTCGCAATAGAGGTGAGAAATGCAAAGGCGGTGCTTACAGTCTAAAAATTGTAAGTATTTGTATAATAAGTAATATTCAGGAACTTTGATGTTACCTCTACAATTCGAGGAACATCCTGAATATATCTGCGAAACATATGCCAATGCCCGTAAAGTGAAGCCACGCTGCTCAGGCTCAACACAATAGTCCAACTGTTATATTTTATTATCTATCTATTATTTTCTTACAAAGACCAGGACTTACATTTGTAGAATCTGCCCACATCGGGAGGGATCCATCAGGTTGAAGCCCACCGTATAGGAGAGTCGTATCATCTCCCGGATTCTGTGATAGTTGCGCTTCTTCAGCGCCTCGGCCTCTTCCCGGGTGTACATGTTCACTAATTGACGGCTAATTGACTTAATCGGTCATTTATAAGGGTTATCAAGGGGGCGTGGCTCGAGGGCTGGTTTTAATTATAGGGTCGAGAGGAGCCACGCCCCCTTACGTGAGCAGAGTTGCACTAAATAATTGAAATACTTTGCGCCGTTCCACAAGAAAGGATGTGTCCTTTGGTTAATTAGTTAGCAAGGAAATTAGATCCTTGGAAAGGACATGTGAAGCCTAGGAAAAGCTTTCCGTTTCGAGCTTTTTTAGACTTCAGAGGGTGGATAAACTTACTAGCTGAAGTGCTCGCTTTTCAACACTGAAATGAGCTTTTTTGGTTTCTATACAGGATAGAGTTAACTGTAGATAATAAATAATATAAAGATATTATTATACTTGAATTTGGGTGAGTGATACTTCCCTCCCACACATTCTATAGAAAAGATAAGCCGAGGATTGCCGTTTTATCTTACTAATGGGTTACAAGTTTAGTATAATTAATAGAATGTCCGATTTGAAAGATAATGTCGGAGCATCTTCAGATAATATTCCGACTAAGATTACTTGATTCAACTTTCATTATCCGACCAGAAGCATCTTTCAATAGAATGGAGAGTTTGAATATTTTATGCCTGAATGATGATTGTTCATTGGATGTTTTCAAGTATGTCGGGATTCTGGATCATCTCACTCTTCTCAGAACTTGCCTTAGATTTCGGTGAATTCTTCTGCAGCCGCCATATTCAACTTACCCTGTATTCCACACAACTGATATACAAAGCAACCCTTCTATACAGCCTTCAAAGTTCTCAGGATTCTTAACAATAATGTGAAGATCCTGGGAGTGATTAGAGGACATCATGAGGACAAAAATGTGGTGCAGAATATTGTGAAAGATTTCCAGAACCTCGAGATAAGTAAAACTAAAATTAAAACTAAAACACACTGCAATTCTTTGCATATCTTAATCCACCGCTTTCCAACGAAAAATGTAAGTATTGTCCGATGGATATGGATTCGTTTTGAGATCATTATCTTTTTCAGATAACACCTACTGCGAGTATCGATGACGAGACCAGCAGCCTTGAAAGTAAAAGTCCTTTTTAAATGTTACTCAATGATTTTTATATTTTCATGACCTTTCGCTCATATAGATTTAAATACGCTTTAATAAATTTGTATGCTCTCAACGATTTCCGGTATTCAAATTTTCTGATTTACAATCGTCGTCGCCGTCAGACTACGTTAAAATGTTTGTTTTTTTTATCGTTAGGTAAATAATTTAAATATTAATAACATTTGCGTTTGTTTTTCCATTTTTGTGTTTTACATAAATCTGTCGTTAGTTTTTAATAATTATCTTTTAGTTTCGAGTTCAATTCGTTTGCAGCTGGCATAAATAATTTTCGAAAAATAATAGAACTGAAAGACACTCTTAGCCGGACTTTGTTCACAATTATATACGAGAGTATGTATATGAAATCAATATTTACAAAAGTTACAATTAAAATTATGGAGTGGCGGAATGTGGCCTGTGCTCACCAAAAAACCTTGTGTAGATAATCCTAAATGAATTGCTTACAAAATGTTTGGATGCATCAAGCATTTGTTAATACGTACACATATTTCTAAAAATTGTTTAACTATATTACTTTGAGTTCTTGGCTTTAACATTAGTTATCGAGTAATCTTTTTGCTTTTTTTTACCCTTTTTTTATATAATGCTCGTGTTCTTATCGATTTCTTGAAAAGCGGACGATGAGACACTTTACTAAAGTCTCGTAATAAAATTAGTGTGTGTGTGTCATGGTGAGAGTGTGTGTGTGTTCTTTACAGTGCATGTGTTGGTGTATCTGTGTGAGTCTTCCTGGTATCGAGTGAGTGTTTGTTTGAATTACCTTTGCTGATATGTTTCTAAGAGGCTAAGCTCACATCCTGGCAACGGCAACGGCAATGGCAAATGGCAACTGAACAGGATTAACCGAATTTTTGTTGGCAGGACACCTACGCATACACTGATAGAATGGAATGTGGACAAACAACTTTGGGTTGCAATAATTGACTAAAAACCGCTCTGCTTTCAATTTTATTGCTTACGTATTCGGAAAACGGGGAACTAAACTAAGGAACTAAGCATCGAATCAACTAACTAACTCAACTAACTAACTTTCACACATACACGCTCAATATCTAACAAACAGTATTTGTTCCAGTACAGAAATGTGAAAAATATCTATAAACCTTGCCAAAATCATGGAATGAATTTGAATTGAAAGTTCTGAAACACCATGTACTGGAAACACAATAAATAACAACACCTACTTTTGCATTTACTCACTAATATTTCTAGAGCCTGAAACACACCTTCCGTTTCCTTTTTTTATAACTAGCCATTAAATCAGGTGGGGATGGGGGAGGATAAGCCAAGCCAAGCTCTATCGGTAAGCCCTAGGTCCTACTCACACGCACATATACTTATACATATAGAAACGAACTGGTTCAATCCAACGATTTTCAACTACTTTTTTGACATTATGACAATTTTTTTTTTTTTTTTTTTTGTTAACGATACGCGAACTAGCGATTTTACATACAGATATATGCATGGCTATATGTATATGTTATATGTCCCTTTTCTCGACTATATATCTATCCGATCTGTGGGTGTTGCGGTGTTTTTAGCGCGTGTTTTTGAAAAATAGTTCGAGCTATATATATATTCCGTATGCGACCCATATAGATTGTATATATAATGTGTAAATATGCGAGATGCAATTGCGATGCGTGTATACTCTTTATATATATTGTATATATTTTTAAGTGGCATTCAAAATATGAATATTTCTTTGTTGCTATTTAGGCTTTTCTGGTGATTTCGTTTCGTCTATATAATTTGAGTTAGCTGTGTTCTGAAGGCTGTAAATAAAGGTTGCTCTGTACAAGAGTGGATAGGGCTCTGCTATTTACACATTTCGCCAATTTAGCATATACATATAGATTTGAGATTTTGTAGTATTTTAATATTAATATTATACGCTGGCTCTGATTTTCGATTCTCTACTCTCATGTTTTCCGTCTTTCATTTTTTTTTTGTACGACTTTCGCGGCATCTTGGGCTGCACTTCCTTTTTTGTAAAAATATGCATATCGCATTCTCTGCCACGAGGATCCATTCTTCCTATCCTTTCTGCCCTAGACTAGGATACTGTTCATTGCTTTTATATAATTCACATTCCATGTTTGCTAACTTTGCTATCACTTTGAGTTTTCCCTTTTGTATGTTTGTGTGTTTTTGTGTGGATTTCCTTGGAATAGGTTTCTATATATCTTTACATATATTTTTAACTACTTGGCGCTCTGTCTGTGAGACTCCGAAAGTCTGTGTGTGTGTTTGTGTCCTTATTGCTACGTGGCCTCGGTCCCCGCACTATCCCTTCCATTTCCATCCCCCCCGTCCTTGTCTTTTCCATCACCCTTCTGCAGTAGAGCCCTCTGCTCGTCGTTGTCCTCGGCCTCTCCCTCCTCGTCCTGGGCATCGTCTTGGGATACTTGGCCGGCCACTGCAGGAGGATCCTCGACTGTTCGACTGCTCACTGGCGATGTGAAGGTCGTCTCCGAGTCTGTAGTGGAAAAATGTTCTATTAAATGAGGTTTTTGAAAAGTAAAAAATATCCACAAACATTTATACAGGATGAGGGAACGCTGATTAATCCATTTTATGTTTTAAACTAATTTTATAAAAAAGCTATTTAAGAAACGATTTTTTCAAATAAATCTATAATTACTTAAAGCTGCGTTTCAGAAAAAAAGAAGCTAGTTTAATCAACACAAAAGTCTAGAAATTAAAAAATTCCTTATCTATGAAAGCATTATATTATTTTACCCCTAGAATGTTAAAATATATTTTAAAAAGCGGTACCTAAATACTCTTAAATTTCAAGATTTATTTTACAACTTTTTTACTTACAAAAGTCTAAAAAATTAAATTGAATTTAAATTAATCATAAAATGGATTAATTCCATTCGAAGTGCTATACAGAAAGCGGTATGTGTGTGATTCTGTGTGATGTGTTCGAGTGTGTATATGTGTGAGTGTAGCTGTGAAATCAAGTTCTAAAGCTTAACAACGACCGATGATCGCTCGGATAAGCCCAGCTGAGTGCTAAACAAAATCTGTGATCAACAATACAAGGAGCCCATAGCTCTCGATTTTCAAACGAGTGAGTTTGGGTGCCATTTTACAAACACGGAAACGGTCATTATCGATAGCTATCGATAGGCAATCGGTAATCGACCGGATACTAACAGATCGCTCGCCTTGCGCCCGACGTTCTCCACTCGGTGTCAGTGTTTCTGTGTCTGTATCTGTGTTTTTTTTTGTGGATCGATGGGTATATTTTCGGATTGAGATTCAGATTGAGATTCAGATTCAGATTCAGAAGGCGGCATCGAAGATGGTGACTGGGGCGAGCCAGCAAGCGGGATAGCGAGATAGACAGATGGGGAGAAAAAAAGATATGGCTGTAGATGATTTCTGGTTTCTTCACTAAAAACTACAGAAACCCCAAAGGACGCACTTACAGAATGAAACAGAGGGAAAGAGACAGATAGAAAGAGAATAAAATAAACCAAAAGCAAGATGGCAACGATGGGAGAATAACGGGACTGCTTCGATAACTGTGGACGGCTTTAAAAGTACGGCTTTCCTTTTTAGTAAAATCCAGGACACTCCCCATCGCTTTCATCTTCTGATACCCGTACAAATCACCTACCCAGACTACTGTCCCTTGTTGGTTGGCCACCATCCGCAGATGCGGAAGCAGAGGCAGACGTGGATGGGGTCGGAGCTCCTCGGGAGAGCAACGGCTTCACTTGACGTAGAGCCTGCTCCTCGGGATAGCGCGGTGTCTGGAACTTTGTGGGCTTCGATTGCAAGTTCGCTGGTCCTGAGCGCTGGTGCATAAGGGTGCGGTGCCTAAGGGGTGGTGGGGATATAGACTTAGCTAAAACTGAATGAGGTAATTTATTCGGTGAGTAATCGCTGCCGGATTCGCCCTAAAAGCAAAGGATATGTTAGAAATTTGTAAAGAATATGGATAAATATGTGTATACCATTACGGTGCCATTGTCAGAGACGCCGGAGCCGGACATGTTGTCCGCCAGGAGGCGTTCGCTCTCCGGATCGGATAGGACGCGTGAGACATCAGACTTGTTTTTCAGTATCGACTTGGAGCGCCGGTGATGCTCCAGATTGGGCGAGGCATCAATAGAGTCTATCGATGAGGAATGCTTGCTCTCGAACTTGGCTGTATTTTAAAATATTTTAAAAATTATTCATAAAAGTTTCTGATTAATTAATAAAAGCTAAGTCACATTACCTTTGGCGCCCACGTTCTGAATGCCAAACAAATGCTGGTTGATCAGTTTGGTGGCAGTGGCTAAGCTCTTGCCCGGCATGAAAACCGAGCGCTTCTTCTTCAGTCCGGATCCGGAAGAGGACCCGGAAGCGGCTGAATTTCCCGATGCTACAGCTTCCAGGCGGCCCAGGGCCTCGTCGTCAAGCTTGGTGTCCTCGAAACGGGCACGTGGTCGGAGTCCGACGGTCGGACGGAGAACCTGGGTGAAGCTCTGCTGGAACCGCGTCTTGCGGTGCTTTGGCACTGAGTTCTCGTTCAGGCTGACCCGGCTGCCCCGCTCCTGGACATCAAAACTCTGATAGACATCGTCCAGTGGCGAGGTGGCACCCCCAACGCCGGCTGCCAAGTTCCGGAGGGCCGTGTCCCCGGAGGCGCTCTTCTTCACTTGTGTCCGTATGCCGCCCGTCGCCGTCTGGGTGCTGGGCAGGCCCACAATGAATCCCGTGGAGCTGCTGATGCCCTGGTGGTGGTGCTGGTGCTCCCGCTCCAGCGGATTTATGTACAGGTTGTCCATGTCGATGTCCAGGGCGCAGGCCTCGTCGTTGAAGTCCGCCGTTAGGTCGCCCTGAGAGAGGAACGGGTGCGTCTGGCAACTCGCGTATGTGTCCGAGCTGTCAACACTGGCCAGATCGGCGTTGTTGTTGTTGTTCCCGTTGTTGCTGTAGTTGCCACCGAAGTTGCCTCCGAAGTTGCCCCCGAAGAGGAGCATCGCCCCGTTACCTCCACCTACCGTGGTGGTGTTGAAATTGTTGTTGTAGTTGTGATTGAAGTTGGACGTACTGCAGATGGAGGGTCCGTATCTCATGGATGCGGCATCGAGGGGCAGCGCAATCGTGGTGGAGGTGGTGGTTCCATATGACGAGGACGTAGACGAAGACTGTGAGATGGCTGGCAGCAGGGTTGCGGGTGGCGGAGGCGGCGGAGGTGGTGGCAGTGCCAGCAGAGGTCCTTGGAAGGCAGCAGCCGGTCCTGCCGGGGGCGGAGCCAGGAGACCGAAGGCACCCGCTTGTCGATTTGCCGCCGCCAGTCGCATCTCCAGACAGATCGGCTTGTGGAAGTCGGAAGTTGGAAGCGATATCACGCCCTCCGCATCGGTGTACTCCTTGAAGTCCTGCAATGATTCGGTATTTTTGGAGAGAGGTTTTAACTTAGTTTTTATATAAAAAGAAAGCACAACTGTAAGGATTGAGTATAGAGATGATGGCATTTATCCATTAATATTATAATAAATCTCATCATCTCATTTCGTCCTTAAAAGACAAGACTTGTTCTCTCCGGAGCTTTAGGATTCTTTATTCTGGCTGGTTAAGATTCGTGTACCTGAAGTCTGATGTTAGAATTAGTGTGCTAATGGTAGTTATTTGTTATATTTTCTGTTTTTTTTTTATTGAAAATTAACATGCAACTAGAAGGCCAAGTAAAAGTCGAACGTGCAGCGCTAAATACCGTTGATAACTTTAAATTCTTAAATAAAAATTGTTGGCCAAAAGCAGGGCGAGTTCTCAACTTGATTTTGGAATTATTAAAGACATAGTGTTTCAGAGTTGAGAATACGCTTTGAAAAATAATATTCCATTCGAGAATTACTTACCGAGGAAGTAGCCTTTGAAGTGGTTCCATTAAACGTTACATATTTTTGTTTTTAAAAAAAAATTCTTCTAATCGAAATCAAAATGGAAATACGGAATTTCTAGGCGAGCAATACGGAAACAATCAGTTAAAATAGTGAAGTGCCAAAGAAGTCGAGTGCGCAGAATAAAGTTAACCAACGGAAATAAATTCAAATGTTTATTTTTTTATTGTTTATTGCAAGATTTTTTTAAATCGATTTGTTTGTTTTTTGTGTTCTTCTGGCTTGTTTTTTTCAATTCTGATTTGTTTTGTGTTTCTTTGTATTTTTTTTTTTTTTGGTTGAGTGATAACAGGAAATAAACAACTAATAATGAAGCAATAACATCGTTGTTTAAGTAACTAAACAATTGTATATTTTTTTTTAATATTTAATTGTAGTTTTCGTTGTGTTTGTTTTAATTTTTTTCGATTTTGGCATTTGCAAATTGCAGCTACTACGTATCTTAGGGCTTAGGCCATTTTGCTAGGATAAATATATAATTATGAATAGAAAGATATAGGGCTAGTTACGTGCTTAGTGTAAATAAAAATAATCGATTTAAACTTTCGTCAAGCCCTCAAGCTCCTCCGGTACGCTTTCTTCACAATAAATTAAATAATAACACATGCTGCTTTGGGTTTCCGTTCTCCTGGTTGCGTTTTTAGATTTAAGATTTAAGAGATTAGATTTAGAGATTTTACGTTTTAGTTAATTTAATTAAATTCTTAGAATTTGCTATGTCTTTCATTAGCTTTTACGTCACGTCACGCCAGGCCCGTAGTCATAATAATAACATAATCATAATAATCGTAATCATAACATTAATTCGTAATTTTGTTTAAAGCTAGAGTAACGTGTAGAGAGTAAGTCTGCCGCGCATTCGATGCGCTCCAATCTCTAAGGATATATATCCGATCTATATCCGATTTCTATATCTGGTTATACGCTATTAGCGCGCAATGGAATACACTCGCCGTCCCGGCAGCCCGGCAAACCCTTTAAGAAAAGAAACGAAAAAGAAACAAGGTCAACATAAAATTTCCACATCCACATCCAATCCAATTTCAATTCTTAATCCAACTCCAATCTCACAGGAAGCCACAAAAAATGAATAACCGAAGGATAGTAAAAGTATAAGAATAAAATAAAGGGGGACGGTAACGGGGACGAGGACGAGATTCACACTGGATTTTGTTCTGGTTCTGGTTTACCATCCTATAGATAGTAGATGTCGATGATGCCCTGCTCGAGCATTCTTTTGAGGGCCAGGTAGTTCTTGGGCGAAGGGGGCGGGCGGGCCAGCCGCTTGATGCTGTACTCCTTGTCGTGGAAGACGCAAATGCGATCCTGCAACAAGGACACGGGCTCATGGACGATCGTTATCGTTATCGTTATCGCTGATCTACCAATCCAACTACTTTCTGAAGGGGGAGTAAATCCTAATTTTGTTTTGGGAAGGACCTATGCGATAAGCTTCAAGTTCTACAAAAAAATAATCTTTTTTAAGGGTTTTGACTTTAATTTTCTTGTTTTCTAAAAATAAAATTTTGAACTTATAGAGATTTTAATTAGTTTACATCAACTGAATGGAAAATGTTCTATTATCTTCCTAAGATCACACATCGAGCCTGGATCGGAGTTAATATTTCCACAAAAGGATCAACATTTCCACAGTCTGCCAATGGCGGTTATGCAGCTTTGTTATTTACACATTTAGCATGAATTTTAGTTTGAATTTAGTTAGTGTTAGGAAACTAAAAGTGTGACTATAATCGAAAAGGGTGCAGGACATGCGACTAGAACAGTAGACAGCACAGTACACGGAAAAGCATTTGCAAACGAGTTACACCAAAAAGGAGTGAGAGTGTTTTTAAGGTACTATTTGGACACTACAGCTACATCCGATCTGGATCTGGATATGGATCTGGATCGGTCGCAATGTTACCTTGGTCGTGCAGAAGCAGCATTCGAATTCCACGGGCACATCCTGCTCCAGGTTGTCCATCCTCTGATTCTGGAGGTTCTCCAGGGCTACCTGGCGACGCAGCTCGGCCACTTCCTATAAATATTGGGTGGTTGGGATTGTTGCATCACGTAAGTGGTTTTGTACGCATCATAACGTTAAACAATCGGAATATATTATATATAGAGTATTATATTGCTAGGTATGTACAGATCATCAGATGCAAAATCATGCAGCAATCAAAATCGCGAGATTAGGAATATATTAGGATCGTTAGACTAGGTTCCTTATGGCATGCGGCTCAAGCTGTGTGAAGGATGTGCCTGTCTGATTTTTTCCTGAACCTAGCAACTCAGAGCCGGTCACTCAAACGTGTGTTGATTTTAGGATAATTGAAAGAAAACCTCATAAAAGTGACACTGCCCAGATTTTATTCTAAAGCTTAATGGTCCAGCTAAATGGAACGTCACTTGACCTTTTCTAAATGTGCTCTAAATGCGCCTAACCAATCTCCTCTGGATCGGTGAGCTATACCTGTATGGAAAACTATACATAATATTACATTTCCTTTCTCTATCAGTTCAACTGTCTATTATAATCTGCGGAATCTGTACACACGGACAGCCCATGGTCGGTGGAACAGGAAGTCGCGGTGACTACAGGAAAGAAACGGAAGCGGAAGTGGCAGCGGAGGAGAGATTTCAAAGAGCAGACAAAGACTCCGCCCTCGATGGAGAACAGATGGGTAAGATTTAACAATGGTTTTGATTCGAGAATAACTCATGAACATCCTTTTAGCACCGCAAATGACTGTTCAGGCTGCGGGTCAGACTCCCGTGCAAACGATAGTGCAGATTCCGGTTCAGGAGCAATGTGGTCCCGAGGCCTTCCAAGGAGTCTGGCCCCAACAGCAGCAACCGCAGCCACAACCAGTCTATGGAACAAGGTCTAGGATGCCTGAAGCCCCACAGGGATACGGTCCTATGGAAGGAGGAGACGATGGAGAGCTGAGGCGTCACGATCTGCGTACTCTCGTTCAGCACCTGTACGTGGCCCAGGCGCGGGTTCAGCTGGAGGCCACCGAGATCAAGAAGGCGCAGGCCGTGGCCACCTCGACACAGGCCCAGCTGGAAGAGTCGGCCAACCATGTGCGCGCAATCACCGCCTCTCTGCACACTGCCCAGCAGGAGGTAGCCGCCTCCGCTATCCGAGCCCAGATCGCCCAGCTCCAGCTAGCCGCACACGATCAGCTGCTCTTCGCCGCCCGCCAAGACGTGGACGCTCTCTCCTCGCAGATGGTCGGCTTGCAGGCGGCCGAGGGCATTGTCCAGCCCAAGATGACAGTGGATCTCCACGCGCTTCTCGATAAGCTCAGGCAGCCGCTTCAGCATGTGGACCGCCCCACTGCCGTGCCCGCCATCGTTCCCAGCTATTCTCGCTTTGAAGCAGAAAACCAGCGGATCCCGCAGCAGCAGCAGCAGTATCAAGTCCCAATGATGCAGCCACAGCAACAGGGAGTGGGGCTGGGAATGGCGCAGGGGCAGGGAAGGTTTCCGGAAAGTCAGGGCTCCGGGAATGCTATGGGGGGTAGTCCTAGCGACTACATCAGCCTGCCTAGGATGAACACCTATTGATCGAGCGCCTAAGTAACTATGTATCTATATTTTTATATTTTATAGGTTTTTCCTTGTTGCGAAAAATTAAATATTTCAATAAATAAGTTCTTAGTGCTGTCTGGAAAGTGTCTCCTCTGTTGTCTAAACTAAATATTTGCTCTATTTCAAAAAATATTAAGAACGCAGTTTCCTTTTTTTTTATATTTTCTAACTACCTTAAATATAGTTAAAAACAAAATCATATTACCTGGTGTTGCTTAGTGTTTGTATATGTAGGTGAGTGTTATAATGGATGTAAGTTATATTGAGATCTAGAGCTGTACAAGTATTTAAATGAAAATCTTATTAGGTATTTAAAAAGAGAAAAAATAATTGAGCACTTTTGCTGATAAATTTCTAAATCGAATTGAAAAAGGCGGCATTAGGGATTAGCTTTAATTAATGAGCTTTAATTAATTTTCGAGTCTAGACTAGACTTTCGTATCTACAATTTTCAATATAAACAAAATAATCGCCAAGGCAGCTGCGATAATCAAATTTTCAGTAGACCGGAAATGAAATTAAAAAACATTTGATCTGAATATCCAAAGTATTGAAAGGAAAAAAGTAAAAAAATAGGTTTTATGCAAAAGGCATTCTTTATTCTTCTTTATAACTCTGGAAATGCAATGCCCAAAATGCAGCTTAGGATTCTCCCGGATACGAAAATATGGATACGTTAGCGTTCGTTCAGCCACTGGAAAAGAAGACGATCATCTGCAAGTTCATTCAAAATGCTGGCAAAATCGGGTAGATATTAAGGATTAAGGATATAGCTTTGGCTTAAATGCATTCGAGTTGAGTATAGTAGAGTAGAGTAGAGAGTAGTTTGAGTTCTTGTGTATACTTTTTGAATGTACCTCCTTACTGCGTCCCCGTAAAATCTAAAAGTTGAAACGTGTGGTTGTGGTTAACGAACTTTATATGGTTCTCTTACTTATGGAGTTGTAAACTGATCTTTTTTTTTTGTAATAATTATTAACAAAGTTTGTACCAAAATCAAGAAGCTAAACAGACGTCTAACGACTACGAAAATAGGCCAACCAAAAAGTACTTAACCAAAAGGCACCAAGGATAACATATGGGTGACATTACTAAAAATCGTAATCGAACTCAAAAGAATCGAACTCATTTTCCCAGCAAATTAGGAGTTGTGAGAAATTAGGTTATAGGTAGAATTATTATTTTGAATATATATTTCGATCCAGCTTTAACTGCTTCACATTTACTAATACAATAGGATTACGATTTAGGAACTTTGAAAACATTAAGATATTCAAGATATACGATTGCGAGTATGATCATGAGTAGGCATCTCCTCCAGCTTCGCTCACTTACCCCGGGCGTAATCATCATCTGGATGGGCAGGCCCTTTGCCTGCGACAGGTTGTCCTCATCAACCACGCCCCCATCTTCAGTGCCGCCCTCTGCTCCTCCTCCTGGAGCGGTGCTGCTGCCACTGGCGGTCGCCACAGCGGTAGCCGCACTCGAGGCCGCCACCATGGCCAGATTGTTGGCCACTCCGCTTCCGGCTGCGGTTCCATTGCTGGGCTTCTGTGGCATCTGTTGCATTTGCAGCATCTGTTGCTGCTGCTGCTGTTGTTGCTGTTGTTGCTGTTGCTGCTGCTGCAACAACAGGGCTTGCTGCTCCCTTCGATAGCTCTCCATGGCCATCATCGAGGTCTGGCGGGCGTTGGGATTGTCGAAGCTGTACGGTGGCACAGCATCCTGTTCGGAGCTCGAACCGCGACGCTGATTAAATAAAATAGAAGAGTTAGTATCCTTCTGGTAGAACCTTTCCATTACAACACAAACTCCAGAATATTTTTATGACATTCACGGTTTTGGTTTTGTGAGGGTACTTACAACACACGATTTTTGGAGGGGAACGTTTATTTCAAATCGTTATTTCAATTAATTTCAAATTCGTTTCATTACGTTTTTTATAAAATTTTAAAGATTTTTTCTAATAGATTTTTTTAGCAATAGATGCAAAAAAAGTTTATAATAAAAAGAGATCTACTTTTAGGGAAATCAAGAGGCATACTTTTAATTGATAGGTTTGATAGACTGATTAAAAGCTATATAGAATTTTTAAGCAAATTGAAATAATTTATTTTAGTATTTAAATGACAAGAATGATTATGATTTCATGAGTCATTTTATGAGGCACAAGTAAAGGATTAAATTAAAAATTTAATAGATAACTTTTGCTTGAGAAGAAGCAAATGCTTATGCCAAACAATTCAACTATAAATGTTATTAAAATATTACGTATACGACCCCGAGTCTCAGAAATGAGACTGAAAAAAAGAGTATCTCCCCAAAGGATCCCCAGGAGAAGACTTACGTGATGCAGGTTGGAGTTGCGCAGGTTGGCTACGTGGTCGTAGTTCTTGTAGCATCCGGTACCGGTGGTCGCCGGATTCCGTCCGCTGGTAGACTCGCCCTCGGTGCTGTTCCCATCCGTTTGCGAAAGATTGTGGCCTGTGGGCGATCGGCGGAGCGCGTGGGTTAAACGGTGCCAATTTTTGAGTGATCGTGTGTGACTCTCGCGCTTTTCTGCTTGGCATTTGTGTGTGTGTTTTTCGGGTGTGTATCAGGTGTGTGTTGATGGGTGTGTTATTTGGGTTACACAATCGGGTTGGATTGTTGGTGGTTTTTCGGTATTGGTTTTTTGATATTTTGGGGTTCGCGCAAAAAAGCCATGAATGCATTTTGTCGCCATTATCGTTTCGCATTTGTTTAGCCGACAGACGTCAGTCAGGTATGATATGTACACAAAGATATATAAATATATATTTTTCGCATATATTTTGTATTTTTTATATAATGAGTTAGAGCGGATATTGTTCGTATTTTTTTTTATTCGGAGCGCAAATGAAGGTGTTTGTTTTTTCGTTTCAAATAAAAAAGGGGGGAAAAACAGAAAGAGAATGAGTTTCATGGAGGCTTTAATATTAATTTTATGTTGATTAATATTCAGTTACGACGACGGCGATCACAAGAACGTTGAGGGCTAAGTTTTAAGTTTAGTTTAGTGGGAGAACAGTGAGAACAACATTGAAGTACGACGTCGAAAATTTTGGGGTTAACTTGGAACAACATTAAGTCAACAGGTGAGACTAGTGGCTGTTAAAATCTAAGAGAACTTTTAGCTAATTAGTCTTAGAGTCATAGAGTTAGTAGACATAGTAAACTAATAGTTAGATTCTATTAAAATAGTTGGTGTTGGATGGAAACGGAAGAGAGGTACTACTTACTATATCTTTTGAATAAAACTTTTAGGAACGCGGCAAAACAAATGTGCGAAACCTTTTTACATTAATTTCAATCAATTTAAAATTGACAAAATTAGACAATTCATGGTAATTCACGCCTCTCATGTGTATCTTTAGAATTTAAAAAATAAAAACTAAAAATGTTATGAGTGAGAAACGAATAATTTTCTTGAAATATCCTTGATAGTACCTTTCCATTGCATTCAAGGCTTGGACTGGGCCAAGCTTTAAACACCAAATATTGTACGTATATGGGATGGCATAGCTGGTTAGAATTTTACAATGAAATAAATACAGCGCAGTTGGGTTTCGGTTTTATTGCTAATTTCACAGACACACATAGTTGTTTATGGCTTTAACAGTAGTACACAAAAGTATGAGTACAGGACAGTACAGTACAGTACACAGTTATTCATTTGGGTTTGGTTAGTACGAATACGAATCACTAGTATGTTTAGTTTATATTTTTATTTTCATACATGGCTTGAGCATAAAGAGAGCGTACACAGTTTCTATAGATTAGTTCATAGGATTAGAGCATGCAGCGCGATAGATTGGATTCAATTTCGTTACGAAATCAATAGAAAACAGTGAGAACGAAAGGGCGAGGGACACACACACAGGTACATATAAGTATAAATATAATATATATAAATGTATAGATAGAAGGATATAAAAGTCATAAAGAAAAGAAGTAGAAAATGGAAAATGGAGAACCGAAAAACATTTGGTAAAAGGCACGTAAAGGCTTCTTTGGAATGGCAGGGTCCCAGGACCCTCAGTATTTATTATATTTTGGTTTTCATTTTTTTTTTTGTTTGTTTTCAACGAGCGCAATGATAGAAATGTTTGAACTATGCGGGAACTTAGTGCAAATCAAAAGTAATCGATCGTTCCAATATCATATACAAAAAACGGGATTCAGCTTCGGATAAAAAACATTGTATATTTTGAATAATTTTATTCCATCGAACTGCTCGGCTCGCTTACAAAATGTATGTATGTGACTTCTTGGGTTTACAATTTAACAAAATTTCAGCTGTTTTTGTTGTGGCATGTTCTATATATCTTATAGTACACATTATATATGTATGTATGGCTGCAAACTAGGAGCACTTTGCTTTAAATAAGGCAATTTCATTTTGTTTTTCTGCGGCATTGTAGGAACGTTTCGCCATCGATTTCTAAGTATTTCTTCCGTCTACAAATGGAACGAGTATATTTTGTTTGTCATACCTAATACACGCTATTTGCCGAGGCGCTCTCTAAATTATAAACTAAGCTTACCCTCTCTCAGCTACTAAAAACTAATTTCATAAATAAGGCTGTTCCTTTATATAGTTTTTTTTTTTCATTCTTTTTTTTTGGTTTGGGTTTTTGATTTGATTCTGCTTTTGGGCTTCCATGGAGATCACTTGAAGCGAAATCTCGGGCGTCCATGGAGGGAATTACTTTGGTTTTCTTTTTGACTAATACGCTCAATAAATGCCTCGTCGGAGTTTGCACAGAGGTTAGGCCTAGTTAAACGCTAAGATTTAGACTAAATCGAAAAATTGTGCTTACGCGGATTGTATTCAGAGTTTAGCTCTCTCGAATGGCGTGTCGTGTGTTAGCTTTTCATTTTGGAAGGGAATTCTGGAAGGGATTCCTGGAAGATTCTCCACACACATGCTGCCGCCCACTCTTTGGAGTTCTGGGAGGGGTACTTGAAAGTTTTGCTTGATACTTGATTAATCAGGGGATGGGGGTGGACCAAATTATAGCATAAACTTAGCAAAAACACAAGCAAGTTACAACATATAGAGGGGATCAACAAAAAATTTCCAGCCGATCTTCACAAGTTTTTAACAATATTTTTATACTTTTCTTCTTTTTTTAGTTTTATTTTCAAGTGCTGATTGCAGGACTTTAGCAAAACTTTCAAAATACAATGGTAATAGAGGGAAGTATGAAGCATACGCCATGTTGTACTAAGATAACGTGGCGTATGCGTAATTTACGGACAACAAGAAGCAGCATGTGTGTGTGACTTGTGTATGTGTTTGTTGTGTAGGTGTATGACGCCTAAAAGCGATTATATTTAATCACAACATTCAACTTTGGATCTATGGAATCTATGATAACATTTCTTTTGATTGGAAGCTTCAAGCAAGCCTAACTGCTAACCAAATGCTGGAAGTACTTTCGCTTAAGTCTAAGACTTGGTTCATGTGTGTGGTGGAGTGGTGTGAAGTGTGTGTGTGTGTGTTTGAGTGGTTGTTGGTGAGTTTGTAACAAATTGCATTTGTTTGTTCTAATTTACATATACAGTAACAATCGCATTTCATTCTCTTAGCTAAGTTTCGCTTAGTGTAGATTTGTAGGCTTCTGGTTTTTCTGGGGTTTTTGGGGCGTTTTTGGGGCGTTTTTGGGTCGGGTTGTTGTTGCTGTGGTTGCAGCTCATCTAGCTATCCTAGCGGCTGTCTTCGTTGTCGCTGGAACTGTTCTGCTGCTGGGCGTCCCGCTCCTCCAGCAGGCTGCGATTCAGCTCCTGGATGCGGGCGGAGAGCGCTCGGCGGCGGGGCGTGCCGAACGAAGGCGGCGGTGGCGCCTCGATCAGTGTGTTTTTCTCGCCTAAGTCGCATCGAAATTTGATTATTTGTGTTTTTTTTTATACGGGGGCTCGTAATTAGAGAGTGTAGTAGAGTGAAGTGTATTTCAGGTGTATGGTGTTTTTGGGGGGTCGAAAATGTTTGAAAATTCAAAAGATTATGGTGGTGGTTGTGGCAGAAAGTAGAAAAAGAAGAGCAGAGAAAAGAACACGTTGTAGGTTGATATCTTTTTTGTATTTCTCGGGCAGTAACCCTTCCCACAGAGCTAAAATGATTTCGATTTGGCTAAAATACAACTACATTTGGCTAAGAGAATGAGCATATACATTATGTTTGTGTTCTTTTTTTTTTGTTGGTAATCAGCACTTGAAAATTTTCTAAAAATGTTTGTAATATTTATAATATTTAGAATTCTTTTTGGTTTTTTTTTTTGACAATATTAAAGGTAAGTCTAGGTTGAGCATTCAAATTTGCTATGGTTGGTGGCAGATTCAAAACAAGTATCAAGCAATGAGTAATAATTTCGTCATAATTCACACAATTCTGGGCAAATTTTCAACTGAAGTCAGCAATTAGGCAAACTCAATGAAACTGAATCCAAAAATGAAACCGAAGAATGCAACTAATTGCGAGAGCAATTGCCTAAGTCTAAGATATATCCTTGTCTATAAGAAAGATACTTATATACAGAGAAAGTGGGGATTATAAAAGTTTTATAAAGACTAGGCTATCAAGGCAGCTGTGCTTTCGACTATGACTATATCGAGGTAGTATGTAGTCCCTCCTTTCTTCATAATTTTATACCTATGCCAATAAAACGCACTGTCTTCCAGCACAGCTGCAATTTAAGGAGCAAAGCCAAAGCTTTGTGAACTCTCTCCCTACGCTATATTTTACAAAAGTTAAGAACTATTAGGAACTAACCTACCAAAAAAATTATACTTTATTACACTATAAGAAAAAAATATGGAGAAATAACTCCAAAGACAAAAAGAGAGAGAGAGAGTGTGTGTGCGAATTGTACATATGTGTCTGTATTGGCGCGCGTGTGTGTGTCTGAGTGTGTGTATCTTCGGTATATATTGAAAGCGGTATATATTCAAAGGCTACGGCATTAATAGAATATTTCAGAGTGGCAAGGCTAGAGAGTATATGGTCTAGAGAATACGTATACGCAATGTAGTCACCTGGAGCGCTTTGCACATCGAGGGTCTGCCTGCCTATATTGGGGGTGCTTTGTCTTTTACCCTTCGGATGCACGACATTTGTTTGCTTTCCTAAAATAAAACACAGGCCGGATGGTTGAGGTTGAGAAGAGGGAGGCTACTCGGCTATTCGGGGGGCTTAGAGCGGCATTAGAGGGTGTAGGTAGAGATACCGTTGCCTACTTCCAGGCGCGCGGGCATTTTGTATTGTTTTTACAGCAGAGGTGTTTGTGGTTGTGGGGTTGTAGGGGTGGTTGGGGTGCTTTGTACAGGTGAAAACCCCACTAATTTCGCGTTTAATGCGCTAAGTACAAAGCATTTGGCTAATTGTCTGAATGTGTTTTGGTTCCGTACTTATTATATTTGCTATTGTTGTTGTTGTTTTAGTTTTGGAGGGGTGGGTCTAAGAGACTACTAGAACTTAAAAGTAATCCAAAATGGCTTAACTAGTTAACAATTGATCAATCGAACGTAAGTCTAAGCTCGAGATAATCAAAGGTTCAACAATTTCTATCATCTTACGGCTCTACAGTTGCCGGGCACGGAGTCCGGCTTCTGTGAAATGCTATTTACACGCCTCTTGGCTGGAATTATTCAACCAACTTGAAACAAAGATATAGAAAAACCAATTCCAAATGATAGTGAAAAGAAGCGAGAAAGTAAGTAGAGTGCATGCCAAAATATAGTACAAATCTACAAAGAATGGCAGAGAGTTTTTCCAAAGAATAGTTCGGGGAATGCATAGACGAGTAGGTACAGATAAAACTGGTTTTGAAAAACTTTTAAAGTAGGTTGGTGAAAAAGTACAGATCATACAAGTTTGGATTTTGGAAAATGTTTAAAATAAAAGTGTTGTGTTTCAGAGTAAGGATAGTAAGCATAGCATGAGGCATAGGTTGCGGATCGGGGTATAGGTTTAAAGAGTTTAAAGCCCCGATCCGTTTAGTTAGTTATTGGTAGTTTAGTAGATACATAAGCAAGGCAATCAAGACATCTCATTAAGGTGGCCCATTAGGGCGCTGTAAGTCTTACCTGTGTCGACAATCACATCGATGAGATCCATGGACTTGGCGAAGGCGTCTTTCAGATTGATATGATGGAAGGAGACAATGCTGCCCTCGCGTTTGGCACGATCGAGAGCCTCGCGCCGCTTGAGGGCCTTTTCGCGTCGCATCTGATTCTTATAAAATTCAGCAAAATTGTTAACGATGATGGGAATAGGCAAAGCGATTACCAGAACACCGCATATGCAACACACAGTACCAATAACCTTTCCCAGTGCAGTTGTGGGATAGATGTCCCCGTAGCCAACAGTTGTCATTGTAATACCCGCCCACCAAAATGTTTCCGGTATTGAAACGAATTTTGTATCCTTTTCATCCTTTTCGGCAAAATATGCCAGCGAAGAAAATATGAGAACGCCCATGGCCAGGAACAGCATTAGTAGACCGAGTTCCTTATATGAGTTACGCAGCGTAAAGCCTAGCGACTGCAGGCCCGTTGAGTGACGGGCCAGCTTAAGGATTCGCAGGATGCGCATGATGCGAAAGACCTGCACCACCCGACGCACATCCTGGAACTGGTCCGTTGCATTCTTATTCGTTTCCAATAGAAATAACGAGACAAAGTATGGGAGTATTGCCAATAGATCGATTATGTTAAGGCCGCCCTTAAAGAACTTCCACTTGTCCGGCGAGGCGCTAAACCTAAGTATGTACTCTAGAGTGAACCACGTGATACACACGGCCTCAACCATTGCCAATTGCGGATTATCCTGTGGTGTACCGTTGTCAATGTGTTGTAGTTGTGGTAGGGTGTTCAACGTCAGGGCTATGGTAGACAGGACTATGAATAGTATGGATATCACTGCGATAACCTGCGAACGGTAAAGAACAATCGAGACTTTGTCGAGACCATAATTCAAGCAACGATTTAAATTTCAATTCAAAACTTTCAATCATATCACAACGATAATAGATATTTTCATATTTTGATACTTGATATTTGATAATTGATAGTTGATATTTGATATTTGGTTTTTTTGATATTTGGTAGGTACATAACACGATACGTTTAATAAATATTACGATTAACTTTGTCCTTTATACATAGCTATTACATTTATTCCAAAAAAAACAAACGAACAAAAAAAAACACGAATTACACGGTTACAACAATTAGCAAAGTTCGGCGAGTTATCCTTATTAGAGTTCACTTTGATTCTGTTTGATTATTTTTCATGGCTAAGGCAGACATTCAGTTAGCTTTTTGGTCATTGTTCGGGTCTGGTTAGTTGGCTTTCCTACGAATCCTACAATTCGTTTCTTTTCGGGGGGTTTCGAGGGGATTTTGGTTGGCTTCCCTGATACCTGATCGGTTTCTTGTACTTTTCAAAGGCTGCTGTACTATATGTGAAGTATATATATTATTTGTCGTGAATCCTTCTTCATCATCATCATCATCATCAGCATCGAAACAAACGAAAAAGAGTGAAATCAAAGGTTGGCAACAAACTAAAACACACAAACGAAAACATGGGTTGGGGGTTCCTTTAGAATATATATTTTGATTTTTATCCTTGGTCTCGAAGCTCAGTGGGTCTCTAGTCTAGATCAACTCTTTCTCTGGGTGGTGTTTTGTGAGTGTGGTTCGGTGGTGGAGTGGTTGGGTGGTTATAGTTGTGTGGTTAGTGGTTCGTGGTTCGTGGCTTGTGGTTCGTGGTGTGAGGTTTAGTGGTTCAGTGGTTTAGTGGCTTAGTGTATGAGTTTTCTTATGGGGGACTGATCACATGACGCAACACAAGGACATAACACACCTACATACATGTATCTATACGTGTGTGTGTCTAATTGGATCTATATTATGGTATGAGGGTGAACCAGGGGGGGCACTCCTTCGTCAAATAAGAGACGCTACCCATGGGGACTGCAGTCGACTTTCATTATTCATCATTTTTCTATAAAACTACCGATTTGGATACCGATATCCTGATAATTTGTGGGTTGTTTTTCGCTCATCCGCTGTTAGTGTATTTTGTTTAAAGATATAGATTTTCATTGGGGAAGTCTTAATTTGTTTTCTCTTGGAAAAATGAGGAGAAGTAACTTAGTAACTGAGGTGGTTCAATCAAATCAAATCGGTTTTACATATATATATATGGTTACTTATGAAGGGCATCTAGCAAATGAAGAAAGAATGTTTCAATTAAAATTCAAGTTCTAAGTCAAATCCAAATGCATAAACTTTCGTACCAAACGAGCTAGGAATTACAATTACGAGAAAAACGAAACGATAATGAATAAGAAATCACGGAATCAGGCCATCAAATAATTGCATCTGTCACGCCATTTGCATATACATATGTTTGCAATATTATCATCCGGCCTGATAGATTGATTCCTTTGTTTTGAATAGACAAACACACAAAAACAATTTTAATTGCTTGACTCTAAATAATTGAGGTAATTTACCAAAAACTGCCAATTGCAGAACGAGGATGAAATTTTTGGGGACCTGTCAAATATGCAAATTTCAATTGCAATTTCAATGCCAGTTGGAAGGAAAGTGGATGGAAGGGAGTTCCCTCCAAAATGAAAGGGTTAGCCGCAGTCGTCTGATTGCCACATTAGGTCACAAATTGTTCTGTATCTGTATCTGAATTGGAATCGGAATCTGAGTCCGTATCTGTATCTGTATCTGAGGATAGGGTGTGTGGTTGTTGTGGCTGTAGGGTGTAGGGTGTAAAGTGTGGTGGCTGAAATGTTAAGGTGTCTGTGTGACTGACATTCGACTTGGCTGAGCTGATATAGGGGGGATGCGAGAGACAGACTGGGTTATCTTCGACATGCCACGCCCCCAATCGAATATACATGGCATGTATAGTTATATATTATATATTTCATATGGTGTGTATGTCCAGATCTACCATAGTAGGCCACTGTACGCAACCACGCAGTTCTGGTTTCGGATACGGATGTGGAACTGGATATGGATCTGGATCTGGAAGAGGTATTGTTTGGGGGGAGAGGTATATCAGGACTTTCAGTTAACAGGGGCGGCTGAATTTCTTATTGGGGCTTCGAAGGTAGATGAGCTGGCTTATGGCATTCTACGTATATAGATACAAAAGTTAAAGATACAGATTATGCAGTTTATTAGACAAAAGATACATAGTCAAGTAGGAGTCATTACTTAAGAAGGATAAACGAAACGCACTAAAAGATACACAAACTCACAAAACGAAACCGAAATCTTAAAAGAAAACTAAAGATACTAAAGAATAAATTATTATCTTGATGGTGCTTTTCTTAGCTAGATTGTAATACGATGAGATAGGAGAGAATAAGTCATAAATTCAAAGTACAGATACGAAGATAGAAAGATACAAGTGCGAGGGGGCACGCGAGCTTAGGTCTGAGTAAGAGACAGATATAGAGAGAGTGAAAGAGAGGGAAAATGTTATTGCACTAACTAGTTTACAGATTGCAATTGAAGTGGTCTTTTTCTTTCGTGGTCTTGAACTGTCAAACTTCGGGAAAGTTAATTAAATTTCCATAGAAATTTTCGGTATTCGGTTTATGGGGGATTTTGGATTCGGGGCGGGGCGGTGGATAGAGCGGGGTAACAACAATCTACTTGAGATGAAGATGAAACTTTACTTTAAAAACTAATTCTTACTTTCGATTTCTCGCTTTTTTTTTTGTTTTTGTTGAACAGAATGCATTGGAGGGATGTTTCGTAAACAAAAAAGGATTGTGTGTGCGAGTTATTCACTTTGGCATACTTGCTTTTGGATTTTGGAACTGCTAGCTACCATTGCTGCTCAGTCATGAAGGTGGGTTTCGGGGGGGTTATTATGGGGCTTTAGGGTGGAGACTGGGATCGGGTTGTTCGCTGGGTTGAAAGTAAAACATGATATCGCAATACTCCAGCTGGCTTACTTTACTTCATACTTCATACTGACTGTCTGGGTTCGGTAGAACGGAACTCAAAAGTTAACTGAAAAATGCACAAAACTCACAACAGCTACAAAGTTCAAAGCGTCGCAGCAACAATTGGCCAAAAAAGCTGTTTCCGGTGACTGAGCCTACTACAAAAATCAAAATCTCTAACCATAAAGCTGGCGACAACATGGCCACAAAATAAAAACTATAAGCTTAAAATCGGTGGCCCGAAATTCTAGATACCCTTGCAATTGGGGGGTTTGTATGGGCAATTGTATGGGGTTTCTTAAATTCTTGATTTCAAAAATGTATTTTTTTTTTTTCAAAAAACGGACAAAGGATACCCTGTCTTTGTTTGCAAGTGCATCGAGTAGGAGAACAAATTTAAATTAACTTCCCTGAACCTGGCTGAAATCCACTTGAATTACAAGTTATGAAAAGTCGATGGATAACAGGACAAGATCCGAGGGCAGGGATAAGCATTGTGAATATAGAGAGAAAAGAAAGGGCTAAGGTGAGGTCGGGGGTTCTGTGACGGGAGGTCGAAGGTGGGAGGTCAAAACAAAAAGACAAGGTCACAAAACAGTCAAAAAACAATTCATGCGACAAGAAAATCGGGGATAAAAAAAATTGTCTTAATAGAGTTTAAGATATATACGATAATAAATATAGGTACAAAATTTATAAATGCCACTCAAGTCGCAATCACTGTACATATTTTTACTAAATCTAGATCAAAATACGAGATGGATACGGAAACGGAAAAAGTTACAAGACAAAAAAGTGCAAGATTGGAAATTGATTTTGCTCAGTGTAGGGTGTAACGGTGTATCACAGTGTGTTTGTTTGTGTGTGTATTTTGGTGTTGGTTTTTTGGGTCAATTTGCACTGGAGAACACTAGGTTCCTGCTAAAATATTTGATCAGGTTTGCATTTGCTTCTTGTGAAGTATTTTTTTTTTTTACGGTTTGTTCGTTTTGTGGTTTTTGGTTTTCGGTTTCAGTGGCTTTGGTCTGGGGTCGGAGGGGGCGGTGGGTGGTTTGTTGGGTGCATGAGTTGGTTCGCATACTTTGTTCGACTCACTAAAAAACAAACAAAATTCGATACAAACGGCTATAGAATTCTGTACGAATCGGCTACGAAATTCTATGCTAGTGGCATTCAAATGCAGCAAATTTGGTGGGTTAATATTTCAAGTTGGAGATTTTTTCGATCGATACTTGGATATATATTATATATACTTTTTGGGTACGGGTCTTGACTACCAAACTCATAAAACTAAAGCTATACGGTCGAAAATCGTAAACCAAAAGGATATGATGAGTCTTGTTTATATTTCTCTGGGTCTGATCTGACGTTAGTTGGATTAGTAAGATGAAGTAGATTAATCTGATTTATATGCTGATTCGTAGAGAGGGGGGATCAATAGACTAGCATTGACGTTTTTTTTCTTCAAGTGTATTGTGTGTGTGTTTGTGTGTGTCGGTGTGGGAGATAATCAATTCACCAATAGTTTACGACAATTAAAGAGTCAAAGGAGATTGGTTAAATTACAATAAGAACAATAAGAGAGATAGAGTTAAATAAGAGTCTTCCATATGCAATACACACAAGTTTACAACATCATGACATCAAATATCGAAAAGTATAAGGAGGTTTATATACGACATATAGATTTATGTACATATGTCATCGCCAATCGAACGACGAAAAAAAATAATTTAAGGAAACTGAAGAGCAAAGACAACTGAACAACATTTTGGATTTTTTAAATTCCATTTCTGTTATTGTTGTTTTTGTTTTTGTGGTGTATAACAAACAAAATATGTAAACTTTTGGTAGAGTATTTTTGGTATTCGGGTAGTATAGTTATAGTAGAGTAGAGTAGTTCTTGTTTGTTTGTCTTGTGAGCGCGCTTTGGTTTCTTGCTTTCAACGAGGCGAAGGTTTCAACTGAGTTTTCTGAGAGTCGGATCGGAGGAATGTAGACTATATATTTAGACTAGATTTGTTTGGTTCTCATATTTATCATTTCGTTGAAAAAAGGATGTGTTTAGGCGTGGTATTAAAAAGAAAATAAAAAGTACAGAACTCAAAAATCTGGGTTAGATCCTTCTTTCTCTAATAACTGACTATCTGAAGTCGATTGAGTTAGTTATAGTTGGAAAAACAAAAAATGAAAATACGATAAAAAGTACAACTGGCAAAGAGCTCTGGAAATTTTTCATTACCTTTAAAATGGAACTAAAAATGAAATCATAATTGTAATTCTTGTAAATAAACTGATAGTTGGATAGGGAGTGATTTCTGTCTCAAGAAATGCTTCCACTAACTTCTTTTAAATGTAAGAAAACTAAAGAGAAAATAAAAAGTTACAACCCTAAACGAGTTGGAAAATAAAAAGTACATAAATCAACTAAAATTCAAACTTAAAATCGAATGAAAAATTATAGGAGATGCACCCAAATATGTTGTAATTATTTCCATTCTCCCACCATACAATTGTTTGTATGGTAAAGCCAAAGCTATTGCCAGAAATCGGTTCAGATATCGGCTGTATAATACAAGCTAAGTCTGATTGACTTCTCGTGTGTGTGGGTGTGAGTGTGATCGATGGGTTTATTTATAGATGAGAAAGCTAAAGCTTTAGACCTTGTCGGAAACGGCGTTTCGCCTGAAGACTTCCGGTCTGGTTGGATGGATTCCTATGTAGATTGCCCCCACCTAGCACCTAGCACTCGGAAAATGGAAATGTATTACAACACGACTTTGGCCACTTCTCCCCAGAGTCCTTTTTCGTAACAATATTTTCGAGGATTTCTACAGCACACCTGCCGCCTGGTCATATCGCTTATTGCCCATTCCCAAACATGGTTACATTGGGAATTTTGGGGGTTTCGGGGAGAACATTAGAGATAAACAGAGAGATTACTTCACCATCATCATCAACAATTAAGAGATATATATTATTAATTATATTAATTGTAATTGTAGTTGTAAGAGTAGATATAGTAAGTTTATAAATATTGTAGTATGTTTGTATCAAACAGGGCTTGTCAATTTCGCAAATACTGTGTGTGATGTAAAAAGACTGGATTAGAGAAACGATTAGTAAACAATTTTGCAGGTTTCGGTTGCCCGATCAGTTCTGACTTGATCTTTTGTGGCAACTACATATGTATCTGGGAACTCTCTGGGTGTCGTCGCGTGATTTCACTTATTTTTCGTTCAAAATACACTAAGAAACGAATCGAAACTAAAACATAAAATGCATCTTAGCCTAGGATCAAGAAAGTAGGGGGATTCGTGGGTGGTCGACTTGAAAGTGGTTAGGCGATAGCGAAATTATGGGGTGAAAATAACGAAACTCAAACGAAAAGGTGCCTCAAATCTTTTTACTTCGGTTTGTCGTGTTTGTTACTCTGCGGACTTGCTCAGATTTCCGGTTCCGGTCGAGGGAAAGAAGAAGAAGACTGTCCTGTGCGTCCAGTTCCGATCGGTACGATACATGGCACACAAGCGAGAAGCGTTTTATTTGAAATGGCTTATTCACATGAGCTCGGCGATATTTACAGACACTGAGACCGAATTGTCTCTGCGCGCTAAGCAGCGGATTATATAGTAGATATATCACATCGTATATTATTTTATGTATGTTGAACTGTTAACTGGCGGACATTCGTAACGAGTAGCGAGTAACCAGTAACGATTAGCGAGCAACGAGTAACGGATAAAGATCAGAGTGCAAGCATAGATTTGAGTCGCAAAAGCAAGTGATGGTTTTGGCGGTTTTGTACAGCTTTGAGTGGGATTTTAAACATTAGTAAGATAGAAAGGTATATAGATTGGTAGATAGTTTGCCGTTATTCTTATACTATACTCTGATCTGCTCGACGGCCATATACATATATGTTGATATTTTACACAGTGAGAAACTGGGCGATAGTGTACAAATAATAGTGTCTTTGCACAGAACCAAAGTTCGACTACAAAAGATTAACTCAAGAGGTAAATAGAAATTATAGTTATAGAATTGAAATTGGATAGGATAATGGATGTTTTGGAATTGTCAGGGTTTCTGGGTTTCTTTCATAAAACTTAATATTGTTTTCTTACGCTTGACATTGACACGGTTCACAGTTTAACGGTTAGGAACACAATACGAACACATCTATAATAATCTTTTTTTTGGGTTTCGGGTTTCTGGGGGTTTTTCAGGAGAGCACAGAGAAAAAAGTTTTCAAAAGAAATATTTTATATTCTTGTGGAAATTGTTGTAGCTTAAAAAAAGATTATTCTTATCAAAAGTTTAAGACATATTGCTTTTTTTCTCTGTGCTATAGGATTGAGGAGTACCGGGTTTATAGGATCAAGGACTCTATCTTGTACCTTAGCGTCAGTGCAACCGACTGGACTTACCCGGGCGGCGAAGCTCGTGTTGGGCTTTTCGAGGAGCTCCCACAGATACTTCTGGTACTCGGCGCATTTACCTTCGCCGAACTCCTCCTCGTCCCGCTGTCGCAGGGACTCGGCCTCCTTGCGCATCTCCTCGTGAACGTTCTCCTTGCGCTGGTGGTACTTGTGCTGGCAACAGGACTCCAGGTACAGTTCGTCGACGCCCCAGTACTCCAGATCATCACTAAACGCCAGCACGCACATCTCGTCCACGATGTGCAGCTTGCCGGTGCGGTAGAAATTCAGGATCGAGCTGAAGCTTTTCGGGTGGCGGTCGAAGAAGTACTCGTTGTCCGCCAGCGAGTAATCGTCGCACAGCTCCACGATGGCTTCGTGGGTGGTGCACTCCCTCAACCGCCCGAGCCGCGTGTGAGGCAGCCGCTCCAAGGTCCGCCACAGGACCTCGTGCCTCACCCCGCCCACGTTGATGCTGACGCGGCTGTTCAGCTGTTTCGACTGGGCTATCATGAACGGCTCGGGCGGCGGTATGGAGGACATGGATCTGGAATGTGTCCGCTGCAGGGCGCCGGTGGTGTTGCTCTGCTGTGTAATGCCGCCGATAATCGACTGGGTGCTAGCACCACCGACGCCCCCTCCCCCACCGCCACCACCGCTGCTGCTACCACCGCCGCCTCCACCGCTGGGCTGAGTCTGCTGGGAAGTTGTGGGATTCGGATTCGAGTGCGTTGGTGATGCGACTGGGAATGGAGCGTAGCGAACTTCTTTGCCCGATTGTGGAGGTCCTGTAAAGGACAACAAAAATATAAAGAACAAGAAAGGAAAGCTACCTTCGGGCGGAGCCGAAGTAATATACCATTGCGTTTAAGATTGGATCGCAAATGTCGCATAAATTACGCCTATCCTTAGTTCTGGATTCGATTCTCCACCATTCTGCATCAAACTCCTGAGACAAAATATTTTTCAGATTTTTTGCCCACTTTTCGTGAGGGATCCCTTGAAAATGGGGGTTTCCTCTATGCGGCCTACAGGGATGGCTATATCTTCCCCAATTCTCATCCGATTCTCAAGCGAAGTACCTTAAACGATTTCTGGATTGATTCGCCACCATTCTGCATCAAAACCCTGAGATAAAATATTTTTCAGATTTTTTGCCCACTTTTCGTGATGCATCCCTTGAAAATGGGGTTTTCCTCTATGCGGCCTACAGGGATGGCTATATCTTCCCCAATTCTCATCCGATTCTCAAGCGAAGTACCTTAAACGATTTCTGGATTGATTCGCCACCATTCTGCATCAAAACCCTGAGACAAAATATTTTTCAGATTTTTTGCCCACTTTTCGTGAGGGATCCCTTGAAAATGGGGTTTTCCTCTATAGGGCCTACAGTGATGGCTATATCATCCCCAATTCTCATCCGATTCTCAAGCGGAGTACCTTCAACGATTTCTAGATCTATTTCCTTGAAAACTGCTTTAGATAGATTTCCTTTAAGCTGCGGCTAGATACCTTTAAAACTAAGAGACTATTTCACGTAAAAACAGACGGATATGAGGTGGTCCTGATCAAGAATATTTATACCATATAGAATCGAAGATGTCTCCTTCGTTGTGTTGCACACTTTTGACCAAAATTATATTACCCTCTGCAAGGGTATAAAAATGTCTGAATTTTTTTCGAGAATGCTTACCTCCAGTTCCTCCTCCTCCTCCACCGCCGCCTGATCCGGATCCACCTGAGCCGCCAGCAGATCCGACAGGAATGCCTTGAGCAGCTGCTCCCAGGACTCCCTCGGCGGATGAGCCAGCAAGGTGGCCGCCATCAGAATAATCCAGGTGGCGAGCGGCACCAGCAGGTCCAAGGTGATAACCAGCGCCGCCACCTGTTGCGACAGATCCGATCCCGAGCCCACCATATGCACCAGCTCCACCGGCTCCCATCGCTCTCTCCCAATCGACATTACCGCTTGTATCGTAGTAGGGCTGATTATCGCCGAGGTCGGCAGGTGTTGCAGCCTGCAGTCCCCTTGCAATTGCAATTGCCTCGTGATGTTGCTGATAGAGGAGATCCTGTTGTTGTTGATGTTGCTTGTGTTGTTGCTGCTGTTGCTGTTGATGCTGTTGCTGCTTTGTAAGTTGCTGAGTCGATTGTTGCTGTTGCTGCTGCTGTTGTTGGCCAGCAGCCTGTCCACCATGCAATTGCCCGACCATTTGTAATACTCCATTATTGGTTTGAAGCGGTGTTGATTCACCCGTTGCCCAGCGTACCGCCTCACGGTCCCTGTCGCGTTCGCCGACCATAAGTCTGCTGTAAAATGGAAGTAGTTTTTAAATGATATTTATAGGATAGTAGAGACGATTCTACACTTTGAAAAATAAGCTTTGGGTATAGATATCCTTAGGTCCCATGCATTTAATGGCATTCTACTCACCGCTACATCGCGTCAATTGTCGTCATTACAGCCTCCTTTGGTGTATGTGCTGCTCCGTAGTTTTGGTGTGCTTTGCTTCTGCTTTTTCTGCCTTGATTTGCTGCCCGAGCAATTGATTTTGATTATCCGGTCCTGGGAGGAGGGTCTGCGGCTTTATAAATCGCTCAGTTGCGGTCTGGCAGGATGCTGCTGTTGGCTGCTGTCTCCCTGCCGCTCTCCCTTCCGCTCATTTTTGGCTGTGTGGCTATATAGCTTTTGGTTTCTGTGTCCTGTGTTCTCCGCGGCTTGGCTCGTTGCTATGTCTATGATCACAGATGTGTTCTGGCCTTTTTGTTTCTTTTGTTTGTGGTTTTGCGGCTCAGGTTCAGGTTGAGGCTCAGGCTCTGGCTCAGGCGCGGTTTGGCAGCATTTTGTGGGGCAATATAGCTGCAATGAAAACGGAAAAACGGAAAACGGCAATCAGCAGTGGTCGTTTATTGGAAAGCAATTATAGCTAACGGCATATCAATGGTTGATAAGCCACACAAATGCCAAGCACCATAATTATGCATGCCGTGTAATCGTTCAAACAGCAGCACAGTGGGGCAGAACGAGATTAAAATTTATTAAATATTCCAGATACCTCAGCAAGCAGTTAAGATTGGAGGAATTTTCCACGTAAATCTATCTACAAGAAACATATATTTTTGTAATCTATAAATAGTAGCCACATCCACTGTATCCAACTGTTCTGTAAATCAATAGTTGCGGACAGCTGATAAGATATGGAAAGGAAAGGCAATTTCCACCCCACTCACTTTTTATAGCACACTTTTTGGGGCCCTCAGCTGATTGACAATTATCGTCTAATTGCAGAGCTTCACTGACTACTGCCCTAGTTATGCAAATGAGGTTGGTCAGCTCTCCCTTATTTATTAGCTTTAATTTACAAATTCCGAAGGCTGAGCACCAAACTCAGCCTTTGCATTTAAATGCCGCTAAATCAAGCGCATTTTTTTGTGCTCCGCCAATGCGTCTATGGTCTATTTTTGGGGTCAGTTCACAAATGCCGTTTGCCGCTGGCGCTGCCATTTGGCCTTTGCCTAGATTGGAGCTTTGTGATTCACTTTCTGCCGCATTGCAATCAAATTTGAATTTTTACGCCCCACCGGAAATGGCGAGTAATATGCCGGGTCATTTTTCTAATGGATTGCAATGCGTAGAGGCCTCGAAAATGGTTAACCTCTGGATCGACTTGGCAGTCAAATGTCTTCATTTCATATTCAGTTGCCATTCCTAATCGGATTCGAAGCCATTCATATTCAAATAAATGCACATTCGCATGCAGATTTGTGCGCCACTTGTCACTCTCGCTGCCCTTTCACCTCACATGCAAGGGGTCGCATAAGGACTTATGGCTGCCACTAAAATTATATAGTTTTGTTGCATTTTAGCCGGACTAAATTGTTGTTTATTAGCCCTCATGGCGAGTGCCTACTCGTCGTTATATAATTGCAATCGCATTTTTGACAACATTTCTGGCGAGTTTTGGTTTTCAACTCAAAAATTAATGATCAGGGCATGCCAAGCTGTGGCTATAAAATAAATGATTAAATAACTGAAAGCCAAAGAGGTATAAACTGAAGTTTATATAAACTATTGAATAATCAATTAGTCCTTTATTACCTTTAATTAAATTAATGCCAGACCATGGGTACCCAACTAGTTGAAACCCAAACTATCCTCCAGACAAAAGCTTTCATTTTCGCTGCTTGAATTTTCCATTTATTTTAATCGCGTGCAAGCAAAGCGAATAAAGTTTTTCTACACATTTTTTTTCCTATTTTTCAGTTGCAATTATTTGTGGCGCAAAATGAAACTAAACTGCATGCAAAGTCTCAGCTCCTGGTTTTGTAATTTTTGTTGTGGCATGCAACATGTTAGCCCGCAGCCCGACAATTAATTTTTTGTGTTCCAGTATGTGTGAGTGGTTATAGCCTTATACATATATATAGTACATATATGTATAGTATGTATGTGTGAAGTGGCCAACTTCACCTTGGAACCTGTTGAATATCCTTGAGGCGACCACAACGCCATGCCAGAATGCAATTAATTTCCCATTTTAATGAGGTGAGACCTTTTCGTTGTTCGGGCAAAAGTTGGCCAAAAGAAAGACAAGGACGTAAAGACCGCTCCTGGCCTTGTCATAAAAACACTGTCAGATAATGGCTGCTAAAATTTATGACACGCCCACGCCGACACCCCCACACACACGCCCTTTGCTGAGACTGCATTTAGTGAAGCTCATAAATCTGCAAACATAATTTGCCAACACGTATGCAGAACATTACAAAATGGCAACTTAATTGCCCTCAAATTGTTTGACATTGTCCGTCGTCGGACAGCCTTGACTTGGCCCAAACAGTCTTCCCCTGCCATCAGGATACTCGAGTTACTTTGTCCGCCAAAAACAAAACAACAATGGCTCTAAAGTTTCTGGCCCCATTTGATGACAAAGCTAAAAGCCGGGACAGCCTCATGTGTGATTAATGGTTTCTTTGCTTTGCTGACGCTAATTGAAAAATGCTGGGCCAACATCAGCGAAAATAATTAGCCATGAAGAAAATTACGAAGACTCAGGCAGTGATTGAAAATATTTAATGTCTTTATAGAGGTAATCAATCACGAGTTTAAACAAGTTTATTTTTACAGGATATGTAAGGGAAAATCTTATATTTATAACTGATATACAAACTAATAAAAGCCAAGTAGAAAAATCGTGACTTCACTCCTTATATGTATCCTTATATGCTTACTCCAAATATGGTATAAAAAACTGCCCCTGCCAGCAAGATACATTGCATCAAATGCCAAAAATCCACTTAAGTGCTAAAAGCAGGGCGCCCCTAGCTTTTCCATTTGCATATTGCAGGGCGGAATGTTTCCTGTTTCGTCCTTAAGGGGGTTACAGTGAAAAGAGAGGGGCGGGGCAAGAAAAATAGCCAGGACTAAAACTAAAACTAAAGCCAAAGTTTACCAAAAGCGTGTCAATGTTGCAACTAAGCCCGTAGCTCTTGTTATGCCAATTGTTGTAACAATAGCAATTGCAATTGCAACAGAAATAGTAGTTGCAGTTTGCAATAGCGAGTGGCAAACATTTATTGCCGACTCTCGAGCGTCGCCATTGTCTAAATTTATGGCTGCCATTTTGTTTTGTTTGGTGCAAGCATTTTGCAAGTCAAGTGCATTTATTTTTAAATGCTCTACAAGGGCTGGGAGGCGCGAAGGGCGGCGTCTTTCTACATTTCAGAGTGCGTCAGCGGCAACCTCAACACTTTGGGGGCACACGAAAGTGTCTGTGAAACTGTGAGGATGTGTGCCTGTGTGAGGGGCTTCCTTTTCGCTGGCGGGTCCTTCCCAATTCGACGCCATTCACTTCCGGCCACAACCACAACATCCGCCAGCAGCTGACCTCTGAAGGTACTGAGAGAAAATTATGTTCTATTTTTAATTTTTAGAGAAGTTTTTGAAGTCTTTCTTGTCTTAAATCATAAAACTAAATATAATTTAGTATATTCTTTTTCTATCTTATTCCATTATATATTTTATTGTTTCTTCAAGTGTCGTGCTCTAATTTAGTTTGGAAAGAAAGTTAGAGCAACTCTAGTACTCACGTCCCGACCACACTTTCCATTTTCTTTTTTAAATTTAAGCAAGTTACTCTAATTGTGTTCGTTGCTTTCTCTGGCTTTCTCGGGTACTAGCTTTCTCCTACTTTTTCGGGGGCTTTCATTTTGCGTGCCACAGCGACTTATTGGCCATTGGCATGCAAGCTGCTTCTTCCTCTTGACCAACTTGACTTGGCCTTGGCTAACACACTCGGTATGTGTGTGTGGGCGGGTGGGGTGCTTGTTTCCACTTTCGCTCAATTGTTGCACTTCGTGTATTAACTTAATTGTTTTTATTGGATATTACGCGGCTTTTATAGCCCCGAGGTCCTGCAACCTGACATGGCGTCATCTGGAGACTCCTGGCCCGGGATGGGGATCTGTGAGAGCCAAAATCGATGGCATCAGGGTGTGCCTGGTGCCTGGTACTTGGTAATGTCATTAACCCGCCTTCGGAACAAACGGCTGTCTGCTATAAGCCATGGTTAACATCCAGTCAGTCCGTTATCCTGGCAGCTTTAGTCTTTGTTTTTACAACCCTGTTGCTGCTGTCGGCCATGTCAACTGCGCAGTTTGATGAATCGCATAAAATATTCATAATCAACTTTAGGCCATTGGCCGTTAACGGTTTACCTGGCCTGGCCGAGACCATATTTCTCATATGTGTGGCGCCCGACGCCTATTGATTTTCGATTATGGGCCAGCCATTCAATAACTACACTAGAAAAAAATAGGTATAATTTAATTTCATAACTGATTTAGAATGATTTGGTTAAGAGGCTTCCCAAGTGGCTTATTATATTGACACTTGACTGCTTCTACAAGAAATAGAACTACAAAGTATGCCCAATATATAGACTTTCTTATTTTTTTGACTTTATGCCTTTCGGCCAACCTGTTAGCCCTTCGTGTTTGGACTAATAAGTCACAGACAAAGACCCTAAATAATATATGGTTTTTCCAATTCGAATCGAGTATTGATAATGCGAACAAAGCCCCCCAATTACTTTGAAAGGGTATCTGGAGCTTCGATTTCCTACACCCCTGAAGAGTTGGAAAAGTCTGCTCTGTGGAACATTTATCAAGTCGCTGGCCTTAACCAGCTCATGAATGTTTCAAATGTCCAATGTCCTCTGATAATGATAAATGTACGATGGACGTTGTAAGTTCATTGCTGGCCAAGTTCTTTAGTGTGGACCTTATTTTTAGCACGATTTATTGTTGCTCTTGGCGATCTCAAACGCCTCCGTATTCCGTGGTCGGTAGCCCGGAGGTGTGCAAGAAAAATAAATAATGACTAGCAAATCGCTTAAAATTCCACATCGCCGCACGCAGTGAGTTCTCTTGGCCAAAGATTAATTGGGCATCCGAAAATAGTTTGCCGGAACCCGCTGAGACTGAGATTGAGTTCCTGGCGGCGGTAGGCGTTTCATTCCAAAAATGAAAACAACAATTCCGGCCCAGATTCGCGTGCCTTTTCGCAATTAAAGCCAAAGCCAAAGGCAAATGTTTGGCCAGAGCACGTGTTTGGCTTTTGACCCCAAAAAGCACACCACCTCTGGGTGCCACCTTCAAAATGGAACTTGGGATTTGTTTAATAAGCGGTTCCTTTAATTGCGATTTAAATGATTTGACTTTGAGATAGGACATAGGTGTATTTTTAATATCTTCAATATCGGCTTAGTTCGAACCACTGTCCATTCGTTACACTAAATATTTGGGTTTAATTTGTTATTTTTTCGTTCATTTCCCTGGCGAGCAACACATTTTGTTCTG